TTCGGACCATTCGTCCTACGACATGATGGGAACCGGAGGAATCGTAAAGCATGCGACTCACCGATCGCTGACTTGCGCCACTGCGATCGTTTTACCGGTAGAGCATCTGTGACAGCACGTGTGGGAGGCATTGCATCATACAGATTGATTGGCTGCTTGGTTAATTGACTGCTTGATTGGTTGGCTGCTTGATTGATTGACCACTTTCATCAGATTTGGCTGTTGCGGTTTGGCAGTTGGCCTTCTGTAATCATAAATAAATTACAACGATTAATTAACTGTGTTTATCGATTTGCATTTTGATAACATACACGTATTTTGACTACTACTTGTACAAACATGTAAAAACATATAGAGGCATGCAGAACTAGGAGTCGGTTATAAATTTGCAAACGTTCATGTCACAACGTGAAATATTATAAAATATTCGAAAATGTATCTCATAACAATTGCGTAATTACTTTAGAGAGCATGTTAGAACGTTTGCAAAAATATACCAGAACACGTAGGTAACTACACTACACACTAGTAACAGTTTGTTAAAATATTTAAATAATCATTGCATAAAATACACTAAAGCACTAGTAACAGTATGCCAATACACTTAAATAATCATTGCATAAAGTACACCAAAGCACCAGTAACAATTTGTCAAAATATTTAAATAATCATTGCATAAAATACATTAAAGCACTAGTAACTGTTTGTTAAAATAATTAAATAACAGTTGCATAAAATACACTAAAGTACCAGTAGCATTATGTCAAAACACTTAAATAACAGTTGCATAAAGTACACCAAAGCACCAGTAACAATTTGTCAAAATATTTAAATAATCATTGCATAAAATACACTAAAGCACCAGTAGCATTATGTCAAAACACTTAAATAACAGTTGCATAAAGTACACTAATAACCAGTAACAATTTGTAAAAACACTTAAATAATCACTCCACAAAATACATTAAAACGTTAAAAAATTAATAAAACATTTAAATAACCGCGCCATAAAACACTAATATATCCGTATACACGTGCACAATCACTTAAGGAAACACACATGTAAAGTCACTGACACTTGTAAAACCACACCATAAAATTTGTTAATACACCCCCATAATTAATAAAAAATATTTATTAAAGCACACTAAACACTGGTAATAATACACTAGGTACACTAATATATCCATATATGCACGCAGGTAACACACTGTTAAAGTCACTGACACTTGTTGAATCACACCATAAAATTTATTAATACACCCCCATATTTATTAAAAAATATTTATTAAAGCACACTAGACACTTGTTATAACACATTAGGTAAGACAGGGACAAGCACAATATCGGACACACCATAAATTTTATTAATACACCCCCATATTTATTAAAAAATATTTATTAAAGCACACTAGACACTTGTTATAACACATTAGGTAAGACAGGGACAAGCACAATATCGGATAAGTGAACCCTTGACTCGTACCGGTATGTGTTGACAGGACTGATCCGACCTCCTCGACTTCCAAAACAAAACTGAGCACGGGCGACCTCTTCAAGTGTAAGTGCGATTGGTAGTTTTCAGTAGCCAATTAGACATCATGTAATCGACCAATAGCGTGCAACCATTATGGTTGCTTGTTGTATAACTATTTAACGTTAATTTTTTTATAATTTTATACTTCTCGATTGTTTATTAACAAATTTATTGTTATAAATAAATAAATTTATTATTTTTTTTAACTTACTTTTGCAGATATGTTGCAAAATGATTTTTAATAAATATATGACGATATATTTTATTGTAATTAATAATTTTTTAATTATTTATTTATAAAATTATTGTTGTAACTATTCAAATTCGTCGTTTTTATTAACTTACTCTAACAGATATGTTGTAAAATTATTGTTAATTAATATATTACGAGATATTTTGTTGTAACTCATTATTATATAAATTAATTATTGCAATTCATTATTTTAATAACCTTCCCGTGCGTATACCTTGTAAATTCATATCTTGTATCCAAATGTATTTTTATATAATTTTTTGTAACTACTTATTACCGAAGAGATTCAGTATAGTGTCCGAACTATTTTGAACACATAATAGTTTCATGTTTTTTAAAAAGTTTCATTTTTATATGTTATGAAAAATTCATTTACGCGCGGTTTTTTAAAAAGTGACGTCATCAACGAAAATGAAGCAAACCGCCATCTCTCCTGCGAACAGGGTGAACTACGCAGTTTTGAAACTGTAGCTTCATTAGTTCTCCACGCTGCCACTGGACGGCGCCACGTGTATTTTTTCCGTTAAATTCAATTAATACTGTTCATTTTATTAGTGTAATTAATTATATGAATCGCGGTACGAACTACATTTTGTATTTGATAAGCTTGTTTAAACTTTTTTACCATTTCTATATAATTGTTATTCTTAAATTTGATATAACACGCAGAACTATATTGTGTGAGAATTTTTATATTTGAAAAAGAATCAGTGTAAAGTGAGTGGTGGAGACAGCTCTATGTCGCAGTACAATACTTCGAAACCAGATAACGCTGATGGTACTCTTCAAACGTGCAGGTAAGGACAGATTTCCATAGTCGATAACATATTCTGTTTTTCATTTTTATTTCCATTTTGGCGCTAAATGTATTTTAATCCCGGTTGAAACATATTACTGATACAGCATGTTTTACAAGTTTTGGAAAGTAAATTACATGAATATTTTATCTGTAGCTCACGAATTCATTTATTTCTAGTTTTGCGAGGTGTTCGAGTATAACATCGATTAAATATTCCATTTAACGCAGCACACGACGTTTATTTGTCCGCCATTTTGTGTCGAGTATTAACACCAGGATTTACAGTATCATACATCAAATTACAAGACTAACATCAAAAATACATCGTGTTCGATTTTAGAAAACCTTCAACGCTCCATAATTTTCGGTAATCATACTTAAATAATCACGATTCATTAATTGTTATTATCGACGACGATGTCATCGATTATTTAGTTAGATCGAACATGAAAATCCCGCCAAATATCATCAACCTTTATCTTTGTTTTCCGTCAGTTCGTCCATACTTTCGTGAACGGAATCAACGTGATTTACATCCACTTCGATCACGAAAATAGAGGATGGTGGCGTCTCTTCGACGTGATCGACTTCCGCCGGAAGAAGCGGTATCAAAGGTTTGTAAGTCTGTAATTCTATGGACGAAATGTGAGACGGAGTTATCGATAAACTCGAATCAATCGTTTTAATCTTAAAATTATCGCTGCCGTTTCGACGGAACTCGTCATCTTGTGTCGTATTGTCGTTCGCGCAATCGTCTACTTCCGGCTTGTCGCTGTGCGAAGAACTGGATGCGTTTGCGTTGCACAACTCTTTCTCTCGAATCGAAACTTTGCGAGGCGTCGAATATGATCCCCTCAATTTGACGTCAGTCACCTGTTTTTAAAACATACATTGTTACAACATTGTATCTTTTGTTTGATCAGATAAGATATGTATTTTTAACAGAGAACAATAATTTTATGATAAACTCTGCATTTTATTTGTTGAAACTTTGATGAATAATATTGTTATCTCCCCGTAAAGTGCGAGAATATTTTTTTTTTAGTTAAATAGCGGTTCTATACTCCCACACATATCACATATATACTTAAAAGGTAACAAAAATAGATTTTCATGAAAATATTGTTAAACATTTACTTGTCGCAATAAATTTGATCTCTGTCCTCTCGATGCAGGTTGACTACCCGTCTGCCTTTGTAGCTGTCGTTGCGAACCAACCAGAGAGCCACGATCGTGTATCACGCTAATCACGCTGGACTTTACGTCGCTGTGCGGGAAAAGTAGCCTCCACATGAAGTTCTTCAACGCTGCGCGGAAATCTTTTAAATGATATGCGTATAGTAACGGGTTACCAGCCGAATTCATGTGCGACAAGATGATGCAGAAATTCATCAAGATTTCGTTCACTTTGCATCCCGGACAGAACGCCATGATGCAGTTAATGGTATACAGAGGGAACCAACAGATGATGAAGAAGATCACTATGCGTGACAGATTTTGCGTAGCTTTTACTTCGCGTTTCCTGGCTGCTCCAAGTAATCGCAGCATCGTTCCTGTCGTTTGATTTCCGGTCCTTCGACCTGGATTCATCGTCACGATTTGTTGCAGCTATAAAAATATATATAGAACGAATATAATGTAGACTTATTTTATATAACAAAATGTTCATGTGACCAAAGAACATAGACACGTGGAGAGATTTGTTAAATAATTTGAAACAATATTTTACTATATTGGTCTATTTGGTATAGGATTTTATTTCAACAAGTAGAAAATAATACAACTGAAAATGTTGCTTTTAGTTTTTAAGCTTTATTGTTGTCTTTAAAATGTGAAATATTAATGCACACGTTGCTGTGTCAAGTATGTTTGATTAATTAAAAGAAGTAAATTGCGATGACCAACAAACACCGGGCGATCTTCATTAATTCGTTATCGTGTTTGCATATCGCACGTGGGTATACGCGATGATCGTGTATTTACGGTTAAAAGTGTCTGACCTGTTTTACAACCACTCGGTAGATGTGAGCGTAGAAGGCTGCAATTAATAGCGCGGGAAAGATGATCGTGGCGAAGTATAGGAACACCAAGTAATCGTAATCCATCACCTCGGTAAAGATGCATTTCTGGTTGGATTTCTCGCCCGCGTTCCAACCGAAAAGCGGCAGAAAGCCGACCAGAGTGCCGGCAATCCAGCACACGCAAATTATACCTGCAAAGAGTATGTTTCTTTTTAATTGTACCTCTGATATTATTTCTACCATTCTTTCTAATCTATACGTTAGATCTTCTTTTTTCTAGGAAAAAACTTTTTATATTATACTGTTTATTATCTGAGTAAGCAGAATTAAAGCGTTATAATATACCACTAAGTATTATATTATTTCAGATATGGCCCCTGATAAGGACAGTTCATGGCTAACTTCTTGCTCTTCGCCCTTGGAGGAAATTAAAGTGCCTCGACAAATATGTTGCTACTCCATCAAAAAGGGTGAAATTCTGATAAGTTATTAAGTAATAAGTTCACGATTAATGTTACTCTTCTTTCTGTCATGACGAAGGGTTTCTAATGGAAATTATAGACGTTTTAAGGCAGAAATTGGAAGTCGGTCAAAGAAGTCGACGATAGGAAGTACACGTGAACGTTATCGATTACAGAGCACAGCAATAAACGCACCTTTTTCGCCTTGAGTGATGGTATCAGTCAGCGGTGTTGTAATTAAAATCAGTCGTGCCATAAACAGGCGAAACGCTTGAATTAATCACGGTCAAACGGGCTGTAAAACGAGAGAAGTCTAACAAAGCTATGAATTTTATTTGTTAGACATTTCCCGTTCGTAACATTCAAACCCTTTTCCTTTATGAATTTAAATTACGTTATTCAATTAATAACACCCTTCGGTGTTTGATCCTTTAAGATATTGCAATGTATGAACTCTTTGAAGTTACAGAGAGAATCGCAAGGACACGATTTCTATCAATTCTGTGACACAGCGGAAGAAAAAGTCCTTTGGGAAATCGAATGGATGGAAATTATAGTGTACAGTTTATATGACACGTTCGCATAAACATCATACTCGTAATGCAATTTTTAATTCCTAACGTATTGTGCTGAATAGTAATTATACTGTTAACAGAATTTACGGATCTTATAATTCTATACTTCCTTTATATCGAGACACAGATTACCAAGATTTGAGCAGTGCTTAAATTGGAATGATTAAAAGTTTACAGCATAATATATCACTAAATTTTACTGAAACTTATTAGCAAAGTTATTCACTATACAGCTTCGTCTAAGATATTAAAATCCCTCAGGTGCCAGCAGCACCTACCACCTGTTGCCACCGACCTTACTCTTCCAGAGAAAGGTAAGTTTCTTGAACTAAAAGTCACAAAACTATCTCCATTTCAATGTATTATCAATAGCATTGCAACTCAATAGGAAACAGCATTGGTTTCTGAGGAGTGCTGCACAATGTTGTTTAATCAACAGCCTGATGTCGTGTATTCTAATATAGCAGGACGTGATGTACATCCCTCATCGTGTGCACTTTAAACAGAAATTGCGTAAGCAATATCAGGAACATTTTACACTACAAGACCCTAAAAGTAATTATCGAATTTCTATTAAAATTACTCCATGTACTTTTGTATAATCAAACTAGAAGGACCATACATACATCTGTATTAAATATATCAAACTTTTACATGTTCTAGATTAATCAAGAAAGAAGAGATTAGTCATTTGAATGTTGGATTGAAATTCTGAAAGTTGTGTCGAACGAGTAACAGGTGCTTTCGAGCAAACAGTTCCGTAAATTATAATTGCATAGCTGGGATCAATATTGCCTTACGGTAGCACGATTAAATGGTTACGTGTGCCATGCAAAATGCTTCCGAGAAGACACGATTTTAATTGGATCATCGGATTGCACAAGGTAACGAATAACAATTGCTCGACTCGTTGCGCGTTTCTACGAAGTTTTCGCGGTGTCTGCGCAATTATCGAGTTACACTACTTGCGCGTTGATTTCATCATGCCTACCTGCCTTTTACACGCAAACGCCGAAACAAATGCGTGACTAATGTATGTAAACATTCGTACGGAGGAACGCTAGGTTCTAGTTCGCATTGATTTTAGATTTTTTAGGTCTCTACAGATCTTAGATTTTCATAAGTACCAGACTCCTCCAATACAATCACTACCTCCTTCTAAATTCTCCTTAATCTTTCCCAAACCCAAAAACCAATTTATTCTAAACTACGGAGAATCTATGTTACAAATGTAGACCAAGTCTAAAAGATTAACTGGACGTGTTACTCTATCTGAGAATTTTGAAACCTGCATCAAAGTCATCATTCACCCTTACCTATGGCAGTTTTAGTGCGTACGGTGCGGGAGTATCCCATGGGATGAAGTATCGCCCAGTAACGATCGACGGACACCGCCACCAGGCAGAAGATGCTGATGGTGCACAGGACGACCAACACGGAGACGGTGAATAGACAAGCGTGCAGGTTCGTCGGTAAGCCGATGCTAGCCAGAATGGCGAACGGTATGGCGAACAATCCAACCAACAGATCGGCCGTTGCTAAAGAGATGATATAATAGTTCGTTCGTCGACGAAGTTTTCGCTCTTTGCTGAAAACGATGATTACCAGTCCGTTACCGAACACCGCACAAACCGCCACAAGGATCTCACAAACTGTGTACGGTAGATTAAGCTCCGAACGGGTAGACGAATTCGCCTCTGTCACGGTCAAATTATCGGCCAATACGCTGTTGTTTAATGGAAATTCCATCACGATGGACGCTGATACTCGGAAGTTTAACGTTGCTGCGTAACAATCACTGTTGGAATATTTTTGTTAAATGATCAAGTTTCTTCGGAAGTTGGAGAACATCTTCTGCTATCTGTAGCCATTTATAAAGTGAAACATTATCGGATATGTCAGAGGCAACTGCACGAGTAAGGGTGAGGTTCTCGGACATGCTACTGACGGCCACTAGTGGATAGTTAATAGACCAATTTACAAATTTCAATTCCTGTATCTCTGAGTTTATTAATTTCCAACAATTCACTAAATTTCGAAGTTTCAAAATTCCAACATTTCCAAAGTTCCAAATTTCGGAATTTGAAGTCTTAATAACGAGGGATTTATCGCTTTGGTTGTCCTACACCCCATCACTACCGTGCACGCCGTTGCCCAACGAGCTCTTCAGGGAGCACTTGATGTGTCCATCACTGATCGTGAGATATATCTCAAGTGATTCTCATTAGTTTCGAACGGCTCAATAATCGATCGTTGTTCATTTGTCTTCTGCTGTTGGGGTATATTGGAAGATCCGTGACAAATGGAAAACACCGGCGTCGCGTGACACACGCTTTTTCCCGATCTTTTTAATGGATCCTCTTAATTTCTGTACAGAGAATTTCCATGATACCCAGCGAAACGAAGCGTCACGCGAGCTTGATGCCACTTCCTTAAATAGATCCTCGCGGAATGTTTTTCATTCTTGATCATGTTTGTGAAAAATTAAACTCTTCATCATCTACTTTTGCTGAGTTCACACAAGCTGATATTTTCAAGAAGATCAACCAGATGAGTCTTCACTTCCTGAAGTGTTATGACCTTTCAATGGCCCGTTCCGAAGTATTGCATAATCCACGAACAATTTATGAATCAAAAGTTTCGAAACCTTTCTATATTCGAATGAGAGCCAGTGTTCAAGGACAAACCAGCGTTACATCTCTTCCGGTTCTTTCTGACGTTAAAGGACAACGACCCACGACTGTTGTATCACGCTTGATGGTAATCGATCGATTTTGTTTTAGCAAAAAGACAGCAGCAGCACGTGCGATGAAAAAGACCGGAAGAAGGAAGCATCGCTGCTTATTTGTATGGACGTGGCGCGACAGCTAATGATACTTGTTCCATTTTACACGCAACGAATTGTGTCTCTCTCCTATGAATAACAGCGTACATTAATCCGCTGGATTAGGTCTTACCTCTATTTTCATTTAAAAACCGTACCAACTTTATCTGCGGATTCAAACGACCATCTTTATCACTGGACTTTTTCAGGTTACCTGTAAACTTTATACAAATTTTATTCTTTATTAAAAAATTCCACTTCTAATTTTTCATTTAGTTTTAATAACTGCAAATATTTTTTGTATAGAACAAGGATTCACGTTTATAATGGGCGTAGTAGACTTCGTTATATTGCGTGGGCGGAGTTGCAACAATAGAAAGTTCTAGAATTTATATAAGAAAAGATGAAGCGATTTACAAAGTTGAAGATTTGTTGAAGAAGTTGAAGAATTTAAAAATTAGCAATCAGAGGAGTTACAGCGTTTAACAGTGCAACTTATGGCAGTACAAAATAATGAAATATAACGTGTAGATACACCGCCTGAAGGTACAGCGACTTATGCAGATCTTGTTTTCTCTAATAACTAGTAAGTTTCACCAGATAACAATATAACGAGAGTCTGCTATATACATTTAACCCTCGAATAGCGAAGCAGGAACTCGGTTAACTCAAGATAGGTCCAGCTACCGTCATGCAAGGGTTAATTGATCCACTGGGAACGCAATTTACGATCTTCCAATTTTAAAATAGCCAGTACAGCTCGACGCAAACTACCGTCTGATTTTCATTTGAAACGGGCCAGCAAGTGGACAGTCCTGTTCAAGCAATCCGTCCAAACAACGAGCGTCAAATGTTAGTCTTCTGAATTATAGTTACGGTAAAGTTCGTAGTTCAACCGTGTCCTCAAACAATGTACACTATCTTTGGCGATGTTAGTTCGTTTAAACAGCAACGAATTGTCCGTTAAGTAGCACAGCAATTGAAAACCACGGGTCGCGTTCATTGTGTCGACGTTTCGAATCCAACCACTTTTCGATCGCACACTTGTACAGTTTATTATGATTCACAATTTTGCAACGCATGTTCGTCAAACAACTCTATGTTTTAATGTACTTTTTTCTGTGCTGAAGTCTTTTGTTATAAATTTTGGAGATGATTAAAATTCATGGGGTTTTCCAGTCAGTGATAAACATTCTTTTGTCTCTTGACAGTGGAAACAAAGTAAACGTAATATCTCAAGCGATTCTTCATTACTCGTCACACAATGGCGTGATTAAGAAACTCACCGAAAGGGACAGATTAAAATTTTAATTTCACAACGATATAAAAGCTTCTCTTCAAGTTTCACGCTCAAGAGTTGAAAGAATCGAAGTAATAACTTCGATGGTTATTTTTAGACGTAATTTTGAAGTTATGGGTATCTTGAGAATAAATTCGATACAGCTGACGGACAAATTATCAGGCAACACACGACGCTTGGAAAACTATCAAAGTTTTAATCGGAAACTTCCCTCGACGCTCGTTTTGAAATGCTTCGAACTTTCGTATAAAACGTTTCGAGTCAATGAAATTGTGTTTATAATCGTTTTAAAATATCGACTTGCGAGCTAAAGCTTTATTACTAGAACAGATGAAAAACGTTCGTTTAAGAGATTGTGGGAAGTGATAAATGTCATCATAAAATAGTGGTGGACGCAATCGTGTTTTAATATCATCATATACGCTGATACTCTATTCTAAGCTTTTACGCCTATCTTTATTTATAGAGGCTTAGCATATCACTTCCCAAACATCATTATAACCTTCATAATATTTTCACTGAAATTTTAGCGCTTAAAGATCCTTCACGATCTAGAATATTCATTTTATGTAAATTCGAAATAAACTTCGCGGAATCGTTCGAATTTCCCGAACAATTTCAAACGGCTCGATTTCTTTTCGGCCGATCGGAACGGCGCGAGTCTCCAGAGAACCAATCAACGTCGGTTAACGATGACGCGCGGTATTTTTCGAACTGTCACAGGTCGTTATTAGATCAAGGTGAATCTTGAGAGCGGTGTTTCTCTAAAAATACGAAATTGGAATGAAACACGATTGTGCGTGGATAGAACGCGTTCAGGGAACGCGTCCGTCTTCTCAACCCCGTGGCGCGTAACTGAGTTCTTCTTCGTGACACGCGGGGACAAAACGACGGTGGAGGTGGAACGGAAGCGGTAGTGGCAAACTGGAGAAAGAAAATCGACGATACTACACACTATGATAGTTTCGTATTTTACACAACTCATTTCCCTTGGAACTTCAATGTTACTTCATTCAAAATATCACTTTGTAACTTCAAAAATTTGAGGCTTCAGGATTTTTATGTTATTTACATGTAAATCATTCTTTTGGACTAGTATTTAATATCTATTGAATGTAAAGTAAATTTCACTTTTGTAAGACTTGTATATTTTATTACAGGTATTATTGAGACTGATGGTGCGATTGCAGTACTGGAATTCTGGAACTTACAAACTTCAGGATTTTGGAAGATCTTGTCATCTCGGAATATGGAACCTCAACATTTTAGAAGATGTATTACAGGTAAGTGGAAAATTGTTTTTAAAATGAGATCCCAGAGTATAATACTGTGGGAAACCTTGACCTACTGCCTAATACTTAATTATCGTATTTATCGAAAAAGCCCACATTATACGGATCCGCTATATTTATCAAAAAGAATCCGTGACCCGCATTATACGAACTTCTGACGAAAACTACCCACGACATAGGGAGGTCTGTATTTATCGGAAATCGCTTACATTATACCGCTGTCTGCTGTATTCATCAAAAAGGATCCACCTTGCACGGTTATAATACTGCAAGCAAATGTGCGAATTACCCATCTTTTATTAATCCTCGAGTTTACTCGAAGTCTTCCGATAAAAATACTTGGAAAACACAATACATCGTATAATTAATGAGGGATATGCTGATAGGCGTAATATATTGACCTCAGGAATAGAAATCTCTATTTATATCAATTCTGATATTTCCGGAAGTTCATTCTCTGAATCATCAAACGATGTGAAGGAGTATTTGGGCTAAATGTGATTAGCTGAAATTAAATTATAAAACAGATAAAATGTTATATGATTTTCTATACAAAGTATAGAAATACGTACTTTCTGTATGTATGTGTTATATGACTTATACCTTCTTTAACTACTACAAGTTTCGTTTTAAAATATTTAGTAAAAATAAATATTTTTATCCTAATTTAGATTCCTTCTATTTTTATACTGTATAGATTCTTATGATACGTGTTTACATACTTCTTCATATATATTTATATGTCCTCATAAAGCTCGATAAAGAAATTCAGGAATTTTATTTTATAGTTAATGAACATAGACTTGAATCTTGAAAATGATAGAAATAGTTTACTGCAGCATTCTGCAAGTCAAGTAGGATCGTCTTGCAAACAAGCAGGTATTTATTATTTCATTCGACATTAGACAGGATAGAATTACTATCAAGGCTAACCGGACAAATGGATCTGCACATTTTTCGTTCTCCCTTTCGCGGAAGGTGGTTTTATACCACGTACGTGTGTTCGTAAGTGAGAAATCGACTTCTTGCGAGTTACCAGGGATTCAATTTTATGGTAGGATATAGTGTCTCAAATGATCGATCCTTAAAATGACCTGAAAGAAATCTCATAACTCTACGTACAATAATACGAACCTTTTTATAAATCAGTAATGCATTTCGTAATAAAGGAAATATTAGGTAGATATCGGGTAAAGTAATTATTAAGCAGATGTTAACTTGTTTAATAATTTTACTTCCTGTTCGTGATTACTTATTCCGTGGAGGGTTGAAACGTCAACGCGTGAAAATTACAGAGTGTAATAAAATTAACGATGAATTTTAATTGCTGGAGTGACCTTAAACATGTCTTCGACCTCCGCTTGTTATTACATTGTTCTAATAACTGGCAATTACGTAATTAGTCGGATGTGCGGTGAGAACCGACTTCCATGAAATCCACCGTTCTTGCATTAAAATATCGATGAAACTGCATCGATGTTACATGCATTCTAATTGATTTCTGCTACTTTCAAAAATATCAATGTTCCGTGAACCTACATTCACATACTCAGTTTCTTAATCGGGCAATTAAGGTAACTGGATAGTCATACAAATTCGTACATGGGAATCATTTCGTTTCAGCTCTCAGCGGAGTAACTAAATTTTTTTTACAGTAGAAAATTTATGAATTTTTAAATTTAAAGGCTTGGAAATTGAAAAATTAAGGAACTGGAAGATTTGAGAACAGGGTAAAGGAACTTGCAAATTTAAAAATCTGAGACTTTAGAAATTAAAAAATTTTTAATTTGAAAATTTAGAAATTTCATCATTTCTAAAGATTTCTAAAAAATTAAAAAATCCTACATATTATAAATCATCCCCCATAGCCCAATTATTTTAGCGATCCCTTGGTGCCTACCTAGTTACGCTAATGGATGTTCCTGATAATCATACATAGATTTTAAGTGACACGTATCCAACGGCTAAAAGACACCTTAGCGCATCCAATAATCTTGACGAATAGTGAACGAGTCCATTCTAGGTAATTCAAACGTGCTTTATTGTACGTAACAGGCGCATAACAGGTCGTTTGAGAGTGCATAAAAGGATCCTTAATTGTACTGCAAAGTTGAATGAGTTAAGCCTAGACAACGTCGACGAGATCGTAAGTTGTGCAGGTCTGAATCGAAAACGGGTCATGTTCGTGATGCACGGGACAAACGCACCCATGAAACTGGATGTCTAATGGCTTAATGAGATTGGAAATGTATAAAGACATTTCTGGGTGATCGCAAGCTTCCTGATCCGCAAAAACTTAACGTGTTTCGTGCCAACGTATCATTTGTGACCACGTTGGGAGAGTAATTATATCACGTACAACTTCTATATAATCATATGTCTAAATATAAATTATGCCTTAATTTACCTATGACTTGTATGTCGTCTAAATAACAAGTTTATTTAAAAAAGAATTTCTCACAAAAGTTTCACAAATTAATACCGATAATTAATTATTAACGAAGTTCGTTTTTATGTAAAACACATTTTATTAAAGTTAGCAGGATACCCAGAAAACATAAAATGCTACTAGAGCCTGGTGACAAGTAGGGAGGTCCAATTAGAGGTGTAGCTTTTTGTTCGGTGTTAAGTTGCAACATAAATGAAGTATAAATACTTCTTAGATATTTAAGTTCTTCTTGAATTCCTGAATATTTCCTCGCGGTAACAAAAGATATCGTATGAAACGAGAGAAAATTATGAGCTCTACTTTTCTATTTCCTTTTTTCATTCGTTTCTTCCATCTGGAAAGCTTTCGCCGCAGTCCCATGCCAATTTTCTGACTCACAATATCAACGTTAACGAACCACCTTGCTTAAGTGAATGTACGTGCCATACCATCGGCAGAAATGATCGGCTGATATTGATTAAATAATAACCATCTTTCCGATATCTAGATTTCAAAAGCGTATTTCACCTGCAGTACAAAGTACCAATTTGCCGGAGTTATTAAAGTACATAATATTTTCTAGGATTTTGTTCAGTCTCATACTTTCGATAAAAATGTATTCGTTTTAAATTATTTCATAACAATTGCGCGTAACATTTTGAAAATTACAATACATATGTATAAATAAATTCAATGAATCGCGTGAAGTATTGTAGCGCGGTGTACGTCCATTGATCTCCAAGATTCCAACGTTGCTCGTATTAATATGTAAACGAACCATATGCAAAAAACAAATCCAAAAAACATGGAGACACCGAAACTGAAAAAGAAACATTAAATTGTATATCTGACATTTTCGTAACTATAATGATTTAGCACCAATTAGATCTCGTACTTTGTAAGCCAAACGATAAACAGTCCCAACGTTAGGGTCGTTAGAAGGCTATAATTAGCCAACGGTCGTAAGCTCAATCGTGGAGGGATACGTTCCTCGGACGAGCCAGATAGTCCATTCTGTGTTCGTTTTGACAGTTTCACGACTGTCGTAGGTGGTTGTAAGATTTGTCGGCAAATGCTGCCGAGGAAACCGCGTCGGTAGTACAACCCAGGTATCTTATGTCGGTACTGTTCAAAAAATATTAGAGTTACAAGAATTTCTAATCAAGTTACTTTCCATACTAAGAATGACTATCGTTACACGGTGTATTGCTAAAGAATGCGTCATACTTTCATGTTTATGTAAGTACAAAGTTTGTACAAATTTCTAACGAGAAAAGCACATTCGTTACTTCGAACTGGCTGCAATTCCGGGTCTCCCAGATATTCGATGTACTTGCACGTTTGCCTGTCTTGTTGTACAGGTACGAAGACACCTGGCTTGCTGGTGTCTAGACTCGAATCCATCTGAAAGATTAGTAAGGAATAGTAATGATATCCTTCTTAATAATGAAGCAACAGAGTTATCTTACTTGTGACTGATGACAGAAGGATGTGGATAGAATACTTTCATGGTATTCTTGGTCAGCTTCGATTGCTACCTGAGGAATCTCTTCTACATTAATCTATAAAAATACGTTCAATACTTAGACATATTTTTGGAAGATATATATGATAGACCATTTTACCTCAAAGATTTCGATTAACTGTTGCTGTGCATTTGCCAGATATATGGGAACGCGACGTCGTTCTTCTATACTGATATCGTCTGAAGAATAGTCTTCACCGTTGAAGAGTTCCCATATAGCTAACAAAAACCGTCTATTTTTTCTCTTCTGCTCTAAAGCATCGATCAAACTAGTTGCTGTTAAATGAGATTGTTTGATCGTGCTTAACAAGCACACAACCTGAGATAACAGAAATCAATAAGTAGAAAGCACTTCAAGTATAGCTATATATTTTACATACTTGTGAGATAGTGGCTGTAGAGAACATAGGAACGTATTGGTACGTTGGTCCTTCAAGTTCTAAAATTTGTTGTCGTACGATTGATGCCCACTGATTTGTAGACACTCGACTTCTACTTATTCCGATATCGTCCATGTGATTCTCTACTTCGCATATTATTTTTGCTAAGTACGGCTGCGAGAATACCTTTGTAACTCTGAACAGCATTAATGCATTTTTGGGAGCTACTAGGTCTGTTCTCATGAAACGCGGTAGCAATTGTTGAAATATGGCTGTATAAGCTAATAAATTATGGGCAATAAAGGGCATCCATCTGTACACGTCGTGAATCTTTCCTCTCTCTTCTTCTTCCAATTTACTGTGATTATAAGAAAATTTTATAGTATATGAAATAAGTTTTTAAATTGTATGCTTACCCTTCTTTAGTATACGTTATACCAGGAAAATATCTCCATGGTTGGATAAAGCTTAACCATGCTTCCAAAATTAATCTAAACGAACTATCTAAAGGCCAATGATGTATAGCTTTTCGAAGGAATGTATAAATTTTACCTTGGACAGAAGGTAAAATTATTCTGCAAAAAATGTAATTATACAATTTCTAATTTTTCTGAAATTTCTATTTAAAGTTTTTATACCGTTTTAGTTCGTCCATTGCACTTTTATCGCCGATTGCACTATTCGCAAATTCATGCAAAGTCTTTATAAAAGCCCGTACAAGACGTATGTGTTCTCCAGAATGAATGCTATGCTGTAATTAAAATTGAATCCATCTGTATATATGTCGGTTTTACGACCATGATTTCGTCATACACTTACGCGACGTGGTATGGATGCAGAGTAAGATGTACCTAATCGCGAATTCAATTGGTCATCTTCTGTGTACTCCAGCCAAAAATCAAGAAAAACTTGAACCACAGTTTCACTTCTCCAAACTTGTGGTAGACACTGTTGCTGTGGTACAGTTGATGCAGAATTTGGAGATAACATAGATTCTGGTGACAATATAGATGTTCTCAGGAGTCTAGGTGATTGTAATCTGTAATAATCTCTGAATTAAATTTTTAACTTATAATTACATTTCTAAGAAATGCAATTTTGTGGATGTTAATTTGCTCAGTATCAGAGAATCCATAAAATACCTTTTTGGATCAGGTGACTGAACTACTTTTCGTTGAGGGGTTCTCCTAATGTATGGACCAATTATAGGAAGAACTGGAGAATTATCTCTAGGTAAAAAGTGATATAAGTAGCAATGTGCTAATTGGACATAGACAGTTTCCCAATTCACCCAGACATTTTCTTGCTGCTGTACTTGCAACCATGGGTTCGTCAGATGATAAGCAAAATGAAAGATGTAATATTCAAAGGGATATGTGTAACTGCTAAGGATGCTATATAAAATATGCTTAGAAACAGTTTGTTACAATACTGAATAGAAAAGGATACTCATGTTTAAAGCAGTTACAGTACGTATGCCTTGATCTTCTCTAATTTTGTCAAGATAAAATGGTGGTATTACACCTTCTTCCAACATTGAACGTATTTTTACCTGAAGTGAAGAAATTACAAAGATTACTAATTTGCTAATGTATTAGTAGTAAAATATAGTTTCATTTTTTACATACAGGTAAATATGAGACTGGAAAGTTGTATTTTAAGTAGCAATCTGGCAATAATTTATAACACAAAGAGAAAACTGGTCCCAATGGATTAAGAAAGTTGCAAAGCGTTTCATATTCTTGGAGATTTTTCTTATAAGTAATACTGTGTAAACCCCAACCAATATTATCAGTAGTTCCAAACAATGAATCTATCAATATTGGGAATACATGTTGTAATTCCGTGGTACTGGATTCCTCTATTAATGTTGCTATTTCCTTACATCGTTGTACCAGGGGCAAACTCAGGTATCTTTGTAATCTGATCTATACACGGATTAAGAAATAATGATCAGGTCCATTGTACTAGTTAAATTAAATTATGATGGATATAATTTCAGCATAGATACTTGAGATTAGTAGATATGACTTATTACTATTTATTTACATTTCAAAGCATATTCAAAATATACTTTTACATATAAATACAACATATACATTATTTCACACATAAATTTATTTCAAAGAAATAATACATTTTCTTTGTTAATACATGTTACTTTAACAAAAAAGAATGTTTTAAACAAGCCGGTTAAAACAATTTAGGTTAAGTATAGGTTATGTTTCCTTAAAAGTGCAAATTAAACGTAATGAAAATAAAATGTGCATATCCTATATGCACACTTAATACCGTAGCAACGTCCGAAGATGTAGCCATATTCGTATTTATTTACTTTAGTGCAAATTGTGAAAAATAACATTTAAAGAACTTAATTCCAACGTATTCGCGCCAGACACGGTGTTTGCCAGGTGTGTCACTGTTTGCCAATACAAGAAATTATTCTACTAGACATTCTCTACCTTATCGACGTTCAAATACTAAAATCTATAAAAAGAAGTGCCTCATCATTTATATAAAAATATTTTTTATTTGCATTCTAGTGTGACCTTAACATTCAATTAACAGTCTCTCGCTTGCATAGTGTTTCTTCAATATTTACACTATAACAAATTTTCTTGTACTCATTAACAATGGTTCACCAAGTATAATGTACACTTTTGCTCATTGTTTTCTCTTATTACACGAGTAAATTGCAGGCCTGTATGTAGGTAAAAATGGTACGTACTGGGTCCACTTCCATCTAGAAGAAAGAAATTCATTAATAAAAGCTTTAAAATGAAGTTGATATGAATATTGTTTTACCTTCGTAAAACGCTCATTCCAAACGGAAAATCGAATGTGTTCGGTACGTATTCCCCTTGTTCTTTCTCATCTTTTCCGGTATCTAACTCCATTTCATTTGCCCATGCTATGAGACCACGTTCTTCCGGGGTACCTTAATTCAAAAGCAATTATTTAATTAAACTCTTCTTCATACTCAAGAAGTAGTGAAAGATACCTGGTATGAGATTATCCAGTAAACATCCCACTACACCCCCAACCAAAATAGTTGTACTAAGCAACACCGTGATAACCCCGTCAGCTATGTCGTTTCCGGTTTGGATCACATCCGAGTGTTTGATCATCCACTTCGATAAAACCTAAAAATCACAGAAAAATATATCATTCTTTGAAGGAAAAATTGTTATTATACATTGTTAATGATCTTACTAATGGGAAGAAAATGGAAAATCCAAGAATATATAAATTCCTCGCTGAATTCAGATTTATGTACTGCAACGCAGATAGACCTACAAATCAAGTATTTCGTTAATATTGGTTTGTTATTTTACAATGTAATGTGTTCTTGTAACGCACCGAAAGCACAGATCATTCCAAACATCACACAGAATATTCCACCAACTATGGGCTCGGGGATGATGATAAAAACGGCGCCAAATTTGCTGATTAATCCTTGCAGAATCATTAGTCCGCACGCCCATTGTATGACTCTGCGACTGCCAACTTTCGTCACTCCTGTTATTTTATTTAAAATTAAGATTTTTAATTATTATAGTTAGTGCAGTGGATTTATAGAGTATAAAATATTATTCATCGCAATGATAGAGTCAAAGGTTTTCTTTTTTAACATTTGAAGAGTGGGAGGAAAAATATAGATTGTTCTCCAAGTTCCAAATTCCACATTCTCCAAATTCCAAATACTCCAAATTCCAAATTCTCCAAATTCCCACTTCCCTCAATTCCAAATTCTCCAAATTCCACATTCCCAAAATTCCAAATCTCCCAAATTCCAAATCCTCTAAATTTCAAATTCCCCAAATTCCACATTCCCCAAATTCCACTTTCCCCAAATTCCAAATCTCTCAAATTCCAAATTCCCCAAATTCTAAATTCCCCAAATTCTTTCCAAATTTCCCAGATTCCAAATTCCCCAGATTCCACTTTCCCCAAATTCCACTTTCCACAAATTCCAATTTCCCCAAATTCCAAATTATCCAAATTCCAAATTCCCCAAATTCCACATTCCCCAAATTCCACTTTCCCCAAACTCCAAATTCCCCAAATTCCAATTTCCCCAAATTCCAAATTATCCAAATTCCAAATTCCCCAAATTCCAAATCTCCCAAATTTCAAATTTCCCAAATTCCAAATCTCCCAAATTCCAAATCCTCCAAATTCCGAATTCCCAAAATTCCCACTTCCCCAAATTAAAAATGGACATCAACTTTTTATACAAAATTTGATTAAACGCTAACAAATTACCTATAGTTCCAACATTTTCTCCAAAAGTGTTTGTCCCGTTTCCACTTCCCCAGAGTCCAGCCAGCATGGTCCCCAACCCTTCCATACCGATGCCTCGGTTAATGGCGTGAACCGGTGGCGGAGGAGCGCCTTCGCAAGAAAATTTACATTTGAATTAACCAATAAATTATTCCATTATCTTTATTATATTCCAAATTACCACACATCCTTGACGTCGTAGGATAATAACTTATGGATTCCACTGTACATGCTAATACCCCAGCTAGCATACCAAGTACCCCCGACAAACTGACTGTCGGTGTTCCCCATTGTCCAGGATACGGTACCCTGAACCATGGAGAATCGTTAATGATTCTTAATTTACTATCTGCTCTGGCTGGATGACCGACGGGCAGTGTGTCGGTCACTGTTAAAATCGTGCAGATTATCCACATGACTACTATTGTTAATAACACCTGTAGTTAGAAGAAAAGATATCAACTATGAATTGAATGAGTTCAGAATATTGGATCTTTAATTTTAGGTCTTTAATTTAATTTCAGATTTTTAATTTTTAATGTTATTAATTTGAGGAAGCTATTTTACCGGAAAGAGTTTGAACAGCTCAAACCAGACGAGCTTTATGCCCTGTCCTTTGCGGTATATCAAAATTGGGAAGGGCACGTTGACCATTATTTGAGAGTACATCGTCAACATCAGTATGGTCCTGCAAAATATTGTAAAGATGTTAGACGATGGATCTTTATCTCATTAATGATGGATTTTCTTTATGAGAATTTGAATGATTTACCCGGCTGCAATACCCCAATGTTGGGAGGCGGCGTCGGCGGCATTTTCGAATAAGGATAATCCGACTAGCGAGACGGTGGGCACGATCGTTAAAGGTGTTATAAATTTCAGTAAATAACCAATAATACCTGTTTGGAAATAAATATAAAATGATCAATGTACAATATTGAAAAGGTAATTTTAGTCATTTTAAAAAACCGAATACAATAGAATACAGTAAATACTTGAAGATGAATATAAAATGATCAATGCACAATTTTGAAAAGGTAATTTTAGTAATTTTAGAAAACTAAATACAATAAATACCACCGAATCCGATGATCACTTGGAACAGGGCGGAAATGGCAATGGCGCCCGACAGTTCTCTCATTCTAACTTGCCAAAGTTCCGTTCGATTTTCTACGGACATTTCGTTTAACACTTCCGGTGGAGGACATTTCCATTGCGGCAAATTTAGGATTGCTAGCGTTGGGACTAAAAATGATATGGTTCCTCCTTGCACCAAAGGTAATCTATGACAGAGAATATTAAAGTTTCGCTATAACAGTTGCTCCAACAAGATTCTAAATTCCTAAGATTCCAAATTTCCAAATTTCTCAAGTTCTAAATTTCCTAAGTTCCAAATTTCCCAAATTCCAAATTTCTCAAGTTCCAAATTTCCTAAGTTCCAAATTTCTCAAGTTTCAAATTTCCCAAGTTCCAAATTTCCCAAATTCCAAATTTCTCAAGTTCTAAATTTCCTAAGTTCCAAATTTCCCAAATTCCAAATTTCTCAAGTTCTAAATTTCCCAAATTCCAAATTCCCCAAATTTCCCAATTTCCAAACCCCCCAGATTCCCAATTCTCCAAATTCCAAATGCTTCAATTTTAAAATCCCCAGATTCCAAATTCCCTAAATTGAAAATTCCCCAAATTCCAAACTCCCTAAACTGAAAAGTCCCCCGACTCTAAATTCTCCAAATTGAAAATTCCCTAAATTCCAAATTCCCCAAACTTCAAATTCCTCAGCTTCAAAATTCTTCAGATTCAAAATTCCTCAACTTCCAAACTCCAAGTGAATTAGTAAAATGAAGTTGGATAAAAGAGATTATATCTCACAAAATGAAGTCGTAAATTTCCATTCAGCATCAATAAGTTGTAAAATAATTTTCCTGAGGAATTACGAAACCCAGCTGTTATGTCGTAAAAATTTGTATTAAAATTGCGAGCAATATTCTTCCCGGAACTTGTTACGAATCGTTAGAGGTCTGTAAATCTTGCTAAACGAGAGTACTAAGCGATAAAGACATGAAAATTAGCGTTAGAATATGCTGTAGACATAAGCTACAAGCGTGAAACGTGCATGAAACAACAGTCATTCGCATTCCGTCTTGATTAAATTCTAATAGTCCGTACACACGTTGAAATCGCGTTTTAATTCGATTAGGTGTACACATATTAGGTGTAGTAGGTGTACATACATACATGTAATACATAGTTGCGAATTGCGCGATACAATAACATCAGGATACAGTTTTTATCAACGATAACGAAACTTAAACTTTAATCTTCGTATTTGCAGGCTGTGAGGTGTAATTGCTTCGTGGTCGTAAAGTTGCTCACATAATTCAACCGGTGCCTATTGAACGTTACCACCTTAATGTATTCGAATGATTAGTAATTATGTTACATCATGGGAGATTATACATAAGAAGTTACAATAAATTAGCAGGATAAAGAAGTTACAATAAATTAGCAGGATAAAGAAGTTACAATAAATTAGCTATATAGGGAAACAATTGACAAATTATTATTGAGGAGATTTGTGATTAAAATTAGAATTATTTAAGTTAAAGAGGACATTGAAAAATGTTACCTGCATCCTACGGTTGTTTGCACGAATGTTTATTAAGATTTGTGATTAAAATTAGGTTTATTTAAATTAAAGAGGACATTGAAAAATGTTACCTGCATCCTACGGTTGTTTGCACGAATGTTTATTAAGATTTGTGATTAAAATTAGGTTTATTTAAATTAAAGAGGACATTGAAAAATGTTACCTGCATCCTACGGTTGTTTGCACGAATGTTTATTAAGATTTGTGATTAAAATTAGGTTTATTTAAATTAAAGAGGACATTGAAAAATGTTACCTGCATCCTACGGTTGTTTGCACGAATGTTTATTAAGATTTGTGATTAAAATTAGGTTTGTTTAAATTAAAGAGGACATTGAAAAATGTTACCTGCATCCTACGGTTGTTTGGACGAATGTTACTAATCCCGTGACGAAGATCATGGTGGAAATAATGTAGCTCCTCGAAGGATCATCCTCCGCCATGCACAGTGCTGGCGTCAGGATAAATGGAATTGAAACGATGGCGCCTATCATGGTCAAGTAATGCTGAAAACATGATAGTATCTTTTAGAAGGTAATTGAAAAAATTGGAATCCAAAGATTAACAGTTAAATAGACATTTAGTACGTGACAAGGTTCGCCAGGTGTTAAGAGAAGGATTGCAGGGTATCTTATCAATACTGCACGTGTGACTGGATATTTTGTACGTGATCACGGTATATGTATAAAGGGATTAAAATTCTGGATGGTGTTAATTGGGAATTTGTCTATTTTAAAATTCATTGGAATTTGAAATTTTGGAGGGTAAAAATTTTTGGACTTCAAATTGGAAATGAGGCAAATTTAAATTCTTGAAATTTGTAATTCTCTGAGTTACTATTTTTCAAATTTTTAATTCTCCAAATTCCAAATTTACTAGATTCCAAATTCCAAATCCTCCAGATTCTAAATTTTTCAAATTCTAACTTCTCCAAATTCCACTCTTCTCAGATTCCAAGTTGCCCAGATTCCAATTTCCCCCAATTCCGAATTTCCCAAATTCCAAATTGTCCAGATTCGAATTTCCCCCAATTCCACTCTCCCCAGATTCCAATTTCCTCGAATTCCAAATTCCCCAAATTCCACTCTCCTTAGTTTCCAAGTTCCCCAGATTCCAATTTCCCCCAATTCCAAATTCCCCAAATTCCAAATTGTCCAGATTCGAATTTCCCCCAATTCCACTCTCCCCAGATTCTAAATTTCTCAAATTCCAAATTCCCCAAATTCCACTCTCCTTAGTTTCCAAGTTCCCCAGATTCCAATTTCCCCCAATTCCAAATTCCCCAAATTCCAAATTGTCCAGATTCGAATTTCCCCCAATTCCACTCTCCCCAGATTCCAATTTCCTCGAATTTCAAATTCCCCAGATTCCTAAGGTCTTAAATTTCCAATTCCCCAAAAGTTCAATTTCTCAAACTTTCAATTTTCCACATACCCAACTCTTCCAACAACCAATCCCCAAATCTTCCAAATCCCCTAAATCCCCTAAATCCCCCAAATCCTCCAAATCACCCAGATTGCCCAAATTCCCAATTGCAAAATTTCTCAACCCCTCCAAACTTTAATTCTCATTCAATTTTAACGCAATGTGAAGTACCTGTAAAGCCATGAACAAGCATAGATACCATGGTGGAACGTCGTCGATGCCATAAGTGAGATTTGTGTTCCTTCCGCCGTCCTTTTTAGTCGCTGGCGACGTGAAACTTGAATTTTCCACGTTCTGAAATGAAGTAAACGATCGCTCGATTAAACTGAACGAAGTTCTTGAAAACATAAATAATTAATTCGTCTTATGTCATACTCTCGACATTTAGATCATCTTTTCAGCTCGTTTATATGCAGGACTTAATCGTTAAACAGATTCATTATATCAATTCCTACACAATCATGTAGGAATCCTAATTAAGAATACGATTATCGTACGATTATTTAAAATGGAGATTGTTAAAAAACGTAGATGTGTATAAGAACAAATTTTGCGTCTCTTTGTTTTATTTCTTCCACGATAGACAGGATTAGTTTTTATTATAACGAGGAGCTTGGTTGCGTAATGTAACAGCTGAGTAAGGGGAATGATTAATTGTATCGCGTTCATTGAAACGGAACGATAGTGCTACAATAATTAACAGAGAGTAATGCAATTAAAAGAGAGGAATTTCTTTGCGCCGTTTGTATGGCCCTCTTATGTAAATCTTCCGTCAGGGTGGTTTGGTAGGTTGAGTAATTTCGTTTATTTCTTTTTGTAGAATTTCGTTTATTTCTAGAAGGATAAGTTATTTGTAGAAGGATAAGTTATTTAACAAACCTGTTACGTTTAGTTTTTGATTATACTGATTGTAATACACAAGTCTAATTAAATGAAGATTTAATAATTTAAGAAGAACAAAATTACAAATTAACTTGAATAGTACAGTCACAAAATTACAAATTAACTTGAACATTACAGTCACAGAATTACAAGTTAACTTGAACACTACAGTCACAAAATTACAAATTAACTTGAACATTACAGTCACAAAATTATAAATTTATTTGAACATTACAATCACAAAATTACAAATTTATTTGAACATTACAGTCACAAAATTACAAATTTATTTGAACATTACAGTCACAAAATTATAAATTTATTTGAACATTACAATCACAAAATTATAAATTTATTTGAACATTACAGTCACAAAATTACAAATTAACTTGAACATTACAGTCACAAAATTACATTAATTTGAATTAATTTTAACATCACAGTCAGTAAGTTTAAACTTATTTAGCAAAGTAATGGAAAAGTCCAATCAATCTATCTTGAAAAATTTTAAAAAGAAAAAGTCGCCATTCTACGTTTAATATTTTCAACATTGAATCTGATTTACGGTAGCGTTACTACACTGCGTCAATCTTGACTATTTTTTGCTCAGTCTCATAAGCAAACGATCAATAATCGAGCACAGAATATGTTTAAACAAAAAATTACGAAAATTAGATCGAACGACGTTTGAAAACAGACAGCGCAAAGATTAGTACAAAAGTTTGCAATGTTTTCTTTTCTCATTCAACTCTCAATTCAGTATACTAATCGATTCGCGAAGGTTAGATTTAATGGCGCAAACCTCGATGTATCTTGTGATCTAGAATTTTTAATCGCTTCATTACTAAATCTGAATGTTACGATATTCGTAACCTAACGCCTTAATTAGAATCTATCGACGATGTACTATACTTTTGATGATCATGGACGTTCAAGTTCACGATCAAGTTTATTATTTGCTATCGCTCAGTGTCTCTCAATGTTTGTTTCACTCTGTGTAGTGAAGTATTTGAAGTTTAGATCAAAAATAAAATTTATAGGAATATATATATAGTACTATTCAAGTCTTAGAACAAAATTTCGTGATAGCAAAACTTGGGAATTATCATCTTTTTAAATTTATGAATTTCGAGATATTGAATCTTCCAAAGTTCCAAGTTTCTTAACATTTTTTAAGGTACCAAATTTCTTATGTATCAAAGTATCAAGTTTCTTATGTATCATAGTATCAAGTTTCTTATGTATCAAAGTATCAAGTTTCTTATGTATCATAGTATCAAGTTTCTTATGTATCAAAGTATCAAATTTCTTATGTATCAAAGTATCAAATTTCTTATGTATTAAAGTATCAAATTTCTTATGCATCAAAGTATCAAATTTCTTATGTATCAAAGTATCAAGTTTCTTATGTATCAAAGTATCAAATTTCTTATGTATCAAAGTATCAAGTTTCTTATGTATCAAAGTATCAAATTTCTTATGTATCAAAGTATCAAGTTTCTTATGTATCAAAGTATCAAATTTCTTATGTATCAAAGTATCAAGTTTCTTATGTATCAAAGTATCAAATTTCTTATGTATCAAAGTATCAAGTTTCTTATGTATCAAAGTATCAAATTTCTTATGTATCAAAGTATCAAGTTTCTTATGTATCAAAGTATCAAATTTCTTATGTATCAAAGTATCAAGTTTCTTATGTATCAAAGTATCAAATTTCTTATGTATCAAAGTATCAAGTTTCTTATGTATCAAAGTATCAAATTTCTTATGTATCAAAGTATCAAGTTTCTTATGTATCAAAGTATCAAATTTCTTATGTATCAAAGTATCAAGTTTCTTATGTATCAAAGTATCAAATTTCTTATGTATCAAAGTATCAAGTTTCTTATGTATCAAAGTATCAAATTTCTTATGTATCAAAGTATCAAGTTTCTTATGTATCAAAGTATCAAATTTCTTATGTATCAAAGTGCCAAATTTCCAATGTATCAAACTATCAAACTTCCTATCTATCAAAGTACCAAATTTCTTATGTATCAAAGTACCAAATTTCTTATATATCAAAGTATCAAGTTTCTTATGTATCAAGGTACCAAACTTCTTATCTATCAAAGTACCAAATTTCTTATGTATCAAACTATCAAACTTCCTATCTATCAAAGTACCAATTTTCTAATGTATCAAACTATCAAATTTCCTATCTATCAAAGTACCAAATTTCTTATGTATCAAACTATCAAACTTCTTATCTATCAAAGTACCAAATTTCTGATGTATCAAACTATCAAATTTCCTATCTATCAAAGTATCAAATTTCTTATGTATCAAACTATCAAACTTCCTATCTATCAAAGCATCAAATTTCTAAAATATGAAACTACCTTTCCAAAACTTCCCGACTGAAAAATTAAAAAAATTCAAAAGCTAAACATAAATGAACAAAAAAAATATTAAAAGAGAGACCTCTATATTTCCACAAAAACAAATAAAATGTGGCTAAAATAGAGTACACATTATAAGAAAGGAAAACAATGAAATCCTTGTAGCGAAGAAGTCTCGGTACCCTTCATATCGTCGATCACACTATTTACGATATATTTAGATCAAATCAAACTGCGACTCAAGAGCCACTAATGTTATTTAACTAATTACATAGTATCCTACTCATCGCGTCGAACGTACCATTATAAACTTGATATGCAAATCTAGAATTACTATCGGTTACTTTATTCAATAGGATTCTCACATTTAGAAAAATATAAACGCAGCGGTAGATCGCTAGATAATTGAAATCAATCTGAAGTTTACTGTGGAGCTAGAAATATCTTGCGGTCGGCAGCTGATCGCTGTACCAGTATCCCGCAAAAATTACTTCGTGTAATCGACTTATTCGAAACCTTGAATGAAACTAATTTTTATTCAAGGTTTTCTTTAATAATTCTAGTGTTTAGTATTCTAGTATTTACTGATAAATATTTTTCCGGTACGAAAAACCGAATATGAAGTTCCTTAAAATAGACTGTATAATTATTTTTATAAAATTGAACTGTGAACGAAGAGTTAGCTAGTTAATTCTCAACAGTGAACGAAAAGAAAGAGTTTTCGTAATTTTTCACCCTCCGTAAACTCCAGTCACAGGTCTATTTTTAATTTTCTAATACATGATTTTTAATAAACATCTTTTCGTAACAAACACATTTATTTTTATTTCATAACATCAAGTTAAAACATCCTGAAGAATCTGAAGGAATCCAAAGATTCAATTTGATCAAAGAGTTCGACTTACCATATCATTCATCTGTATTCCGTTCTCGAGCATCTTGAAATCGCGTTTTGCACAGTTTGTTCAATTAAAAAAAATTCCACTTAATCCCGCAGTCATTAAAAAGTTTGAGACGATTCGCCGGGAACCGTCGAACGTGTGGACGCTCTGGTCCGTTTGACGCGTTTCAGAGCAAGAACAACCACGTTCAGCCGACGTTACTGACGAACTGTGTTAATAGAAGCCATCGCTCCTTAATTTATCACTAAATGCCTGGTTAGAAACAAGCCATGTGTTGGTTGGCATTCCTTTTGATTTCGAACTTGAACGATTGGGGAAACATGACTGAAAATTGAGGGTGTTTTTAAGTCTTTAAAATTGAATCTTCCTATATGACACACATAGAGAAATTGAATCGTTTTTATTAATAATTTAAAACATTAATTGATTAGTATTTTATGTACTATTTTTATGATTTGAATGTTTTTATCATTTGAACTGATAATAAAGTTATCACATAAAGATCCTTCAAAGAGGAGGGTGAGTTTCAATGGCACTCTTTAAATAATTTTATATATCAATTCTTTTACTCAAATATGTAACAGTAAGTGTCACAATTAATCATCAATTTTTGAAACAAATAATTTAGCAATGTTACACATTTTGCAAAGAGGAGATTATATAATTAAATCAATATTATGCGCACGTGTCAATTACTTGCCAGGAAATCTCGCATATACAACTTTAGACTGATAAAAATAATATTATCTATAGTTTGCTTTGAATCTCTATCTGTGATAGAGATTTAGTTATTTTATTGACTTTGTTATGTAGGTCATTAATCGTCATTGAATCGCGATTGTTCAATTATTGGAAATTTTTTTCGCTTAATCTGTTTTGAATTTTTTGGATAAATAGGGTTCAAACTTTGTTCGAACAAAAATCGACATTATTTTTAATATTGTAACGCAATTAACGTTAATCTTGTATACTACAGTCGGGATTGTAAAAATTGACAATATAAGTCCTTTCATATAATACATAAAAGTTCATAAAATAAAAAATTACAAGATTCATACATTTCTATATTTTTTACTTTGGAATGTATTTTTATTTTTCACTCTTCGTTTAAAAACTAGGAAATTAAAAAATATAGGCGCAAATATCTTCAATCATTTATATAATTGAGCATAATCAAGCATAAATTTTACGACTTTCAAGAAGATTATTAAGCGAAACTTTCCTAGATTTCACAGATTATCTTTAGACAATAAAATAACGTACGACTAAAATCCCCTTATATCATTATCTCTAATAACATCATTTTGATAAAGGACAATAAAATCGATATGCAGCTCGGAATGATAAGTTTATTGAACAACAAACATTCTCTGTAAACAGTTCCGAAGTCGACATCATACAATTTGAATTTGGCGCTAAAATTAGTGAGGGCGCTAGTATCGCCGAGAACTACAAGATATGTAATCTGAATATTTATATATAGTAAAAGCGAATGTGTACCATAACCTATCGCGTTGTTTCTCTTGGTGCGTTGTAAATAGTTGTTCCACTAATTAATATTTCATGTGTTTCTGTGCACATTTCATAACCTTGTGAGAAAGTAGAAACGAATCTTGAAAAATGGATGAAACAAGCGAACCTATGGACGTGGAAGTAGATCCAGTCACAGATGACAGTAAAATTGTTGATCCTGTTGAAACTGATGTAAAACCGTTTATATTAAACGATGTGCAAGTACCGGAGGTACATAAATATTAATGATAATAATTTAATTGAAATTAACAAAGAATTTTTATTAGATTCTTTGTCATACTTTTTATTTTTGCATCTTGTACACTTTTCAGTTTATTATTTTGATAAGCAGTCAGCGTTGAATCATGTTTTTGTATAATGTAATAGGTACATGTGGACAGCCGTTATGAAAATCGTGGTGGTATGTTTACAACAGGCATAGATATATTTAGTAAAGAAGAAAAATTGAAAATGGAAGAGAGAGCCAAACGTTTTGGATTAACGGATAAGATAAAACCCAGCCTGTCGAATCAAGAGCAAGACTTATATTCTAGGTGAAAATCCAGACATGTAATAATTTGATGGACAAAATGTGATGATTTGTTGACTTTAATCTAGCGCAAGTTATCTTGATTTTTAGTATGGGCATTGTAGAAGATAATGAAAATACGAAAAATATCAGACTGAACGTGATACACATGAGGGGCACAGAAGAAATGAGTACTAAAGATGTATTCAAGTATTTTGAGGATTATGCTCCAGCATCCATTGAATGGATCAATGATGTGTCATGTAAAAACAACTTAAAAGTTTTTTACAAATTAAAACTTTTAATTTACTAAACATTAAAATACTAATAGATTTCTAAAATATAATGTATTGTAGGTAATGTGGTATGGTTAGATAATGTGTCTGCAGCCAGAGCTATGTTAGGACTATCCAAAAGAATTGTGGGTTTAGAGAAGCCAGATCAAAAAAATTCAAAAATATTTGATAGCAATCCAACTGAAGAGAATAATGTAACCAATAATGAGTGTACCATAGAAATGAATGATGATGAAGCTGTAAATGAAACAAAAGATACAGGAGACCACATAAATATCAAAGATATCAATTGTCCATTGCCTCCTGGTTTGTGGAGAAAAGGAGTGGACTACCCCAAGTCTAAAGCAATATTTCTCAGGTTTGCTACTAGAGCCGATAAAAAGCAACCAAATGCTGAAAAAATGAGTGAATATTATAAAAAATATGGCAACCCTAATTTCGGAGGTAAAATCATAGACAAAGAGAAAATAGTATATTTTATAGTTACATATTCTGAACAATTATTTTTCCTTCTAGGTATCAAAGGAATTTTAACTGAATCCCGTAAGCGAATGTACAAACAAATTAAGCAGAATAAAAGAAAGTTTAGAGATGATGGAGAAGAAAATGCTAAAGATAACAAACGCGTAAAAAATCCATGGGGTGCGCTGTCCGAAAGTTGGGGACTAAACGACGCTATGGAAAACGATTTTGTTACGAAGAATGAACCTAAAGAACAGGGTCGTAGTGTAAAAGAAAGGTTAGGCGTAAAGCAACCTCCGAAAGATGTAACGCAGGCCGAGGAGCAGAGCAGTTCAAGTAATGAAAGCGAAGATGATTGGTGTAAGAGGAGTAAAGTATTACGGATGCGAATGCATGCAGATGACGAAGAAGAAAAAATACATAAACGACGAGCAAAACTTAGACAGCAAGTTAGTAACATTTACTACCAATTAAATCTTTATATACCGACAGGATTTATTTATCGCATTCGTTATATGTTCGTAGACAATGTTAAACAATTTAAACAAGGATAATGATTTACGATCGAGGCTCGGTAGGTCGAGAAAAGGAATGCAATTCCGTGATGCAATTCAAGTGGTTGTAACGAATACAAATGCGGCAAAGTCTAATCCGTTAAAACTGAATGAGTCAGAGGTAGTGACTTAGAACGTATGAATTGAATTACAATTAGTGCAGTTTAAATATATAGTATATTTCAATTATGTAGGAAGAAGATGGTGAAATTATAGAAGATAATGAAAGTCAAGAAAAAGAAGAAGGTGAATGGCAAGCATCAGATGAAGAAGAGCAAGAAGAAGAAGAGGAAGATGATGAAAATGAAGACTACAGCGACGATGATAGCGATAGACCTGCGAAAGAAGTACAAGGGCCTAAAGGCAGTGTAATAAAAGTAGTGCAACACAAACCCCGCGTTGCTTCGACGGTATGGGCGAGATTGAATCATGTAAAAAGCGAAGTCATCGATAACTCTGTAAAAGACAGGTAATCATTTTAGCAAATCGATATTTATTTTAAGCTACTTTTATGTAAGTAAAATAACATTTTATAGGCAACCAAAAGTACGAGATCTAAGGAGTACTTTAAAAGGCGGTGATCTTCGATCTCGCATCGGTAACCACACGAGAGGACGTTCTCCATTAAGGATAGAAGTGAAAAATGATAAATATACAGAGGAAGGAAGTGAAACGGAATAATTGTTAATTAATTGAAAGAATTATCATGAAAGTGTGAGATTGGTTGTGGTGTTTCTGTGGAGGAATGCAACATGGTGAAAACTATAATTGGTGTATAAAAATATAGAAAATGCACTCATTACTCCGAATCTGCTACGACTTCAGTCGTACACTTTCGTACACTTTTACTAAAGTAACACATTGCATGATTTGTTTTAAAACTACATGAGGATATTATCTTGCGGATGTATTTACTCGTGTTATTCGATACGTGCGACAAAATCTTGTTCGTTTATTATTGAGTTCTAAACTATGAAATTTGTAATGTTACGAGGTTTAATTTCAGTTGGTTATTTATGACAGAAATGGTTCGCTTTGTCAAATGAATTGCTTGCTCGAGAATGTAAGGATTAAACATTTTGTTTTTGGTTCATAATTTTTATACACACTGACTTTTTGATATTTAAGATAGGAGTATCTTTTATATAATGATAATATATTTTGTATATTTTCCTGTCTTTAAAACGGGTAATGAGTGCTTCCTGAAATGTACATAGATATTACCTAACATAAATGATCATAAAAGAAGGTCTCGAAGTACTGAGAAACGATATATTTTTAAATATTCGTTTGTCTGATCGATAATATTTTACGATGAATTATGCGTTTTTAATAATTACATTATTGCAATATAATCAAATCAAATCATGTTCTAGAAAAAGGTATTTTCAGATATTTTGTAACAACGGAACTGATACGCTGTCATACGATAAAAATATTTGCAAATGAATATTTCATTCATTATGCATCGAAATCGTGATAATGATTTACACAAATTTTTTCTCTTTAATTTTCAATAATAAAATTAGTAAAAAACAGAAAAGCACTTGATAATGCTCAATATGATTGTAAATAAAAATAAAATTATGCGAGTAATTGATAGTAATACGTACAAAGCATTTAGGATATATTTTCCTTACGTATTTTGCAAATAATGAAATGTTTCGTAATCTGTAATTTCTCAGAATTGTACATTAAAGAAACCAACAAAAAACGCGATGTAATAACGATGGTTAAACCAGTTTTCTTCGAATACAAAACAAAGACTTTTCTGTGTGCAATTTTTCACGTATCAAATAAGAGGATAAAGTAACAAAACGAGAATAGAATTAGATACAACAGTGGGAAGTAAGGATAAGAATAATTGTGACATCGATTCCGAATAATTGACCAATAAAGCCGCTTTTATATTAGCACAATAATACTTTGAATAGTTATTTTTAAAATACAATAATTGATAATTACAATTTCAGTACATACATATGTATAATATATATATATGCAAGATGTACATATATATATTTATCATTTACATGAATAACAATTATTCGGAGAAATGACTGAAGTAATTTAAAAAAAGAAAAGATAGACTTCTTTTTTAAAGAACACAGTGGATTATCGGAATATTCTTTAGCCGCATTCATAGGTTTCTTTGATTTATTCGCATTAATTTAATCGCATCTTTGTACTATTCTTGAAACAGAAGTACCTCTTTAATAATTAACAAACAAAAACAGAACTACCAGCAATAAATTTAAAGATCATTTTTTTTATACGTTAGATTCTATGAATGCAGCCGAGGCACGAGGTAATTCAATGCATTAACAAACGAGGTCAAATATTTTTGATACCATTCAGCGTTTAAATACTACAACTATTATTACTATTAATTATGTGCTTTAAATAATCTACATACTTTCTGTCTATCAAATATTCTAACGTTATCTACGTTTCTTTTCTTTATACATTCCGTTAAACGTAAGATCTACTGATTATCAATTCTAGTCTTTGCAAGGTGCTGACGCTTCGGAATCAAAAATACCAATCTCGTTTGTTAAAAGGCAATCGTGCAAGATATCGAGGTTTCCATTCTTCTATCACAGTGATGGGCAACGTGCTCTTCACGCATTGTATAACCACGCATTACATTGCCACTCATTACATCACCAAGCGTTCTATTATTACACATTACCATTCGTTAGAGTACGTCGCATTCAATTATTACGCATTGGATTACCACCCGTTAGATCGCTACGCGTTCCATTATCACGCGTTAGATTACCACCCGTTAGATCGCTACGCGTTCCATTACCACGCGTTCCATTATCACGCGTTAGATTACCACCCGTTAGATCGCTACGCGTTCCATTACCACGCGTTAGACCGCTACGCGTTCCATTATCACGCGTTAGATTACCACCCGTTAGATCACTACGCGTTCCATTACCACGCGTTAGATCGCTACGCGTTCCATTCTCACCCGTTAGATTACCACTCATCAAATTACTGCGCCTTATATCACTACGCGTTCCATTATCACGCGTTAGATAGCCACCCGTTAGATTACCACTCGTCACATTACTGCGCCATATATCGCCACGCGTTCACGCATTACCACGTGCTAAATTACCACTCATTATGCTCGATTACTGTATTTACTGTATTCGTCTAGTACCCACAAGTGGAAACATTGATTTGATATCGCTCTTCATCGTCGCATAGTGCACTGCCCTTAGGTTCCGAGCACTCGATTTGCCCATCACTGTTCTATCCTACGTAAAAACTGTGTTGATGCATTTTTCTAATTAATATTCTCAACCGATCGAGGCATCTCTTTTTCCAATTTCCGCTTCGTTTTTTTGTTCTTTTTCTTTTATCGTAAATGACGTATAACATTTAAAATCCATAGACGAAATATTCTTTCAATATTCGGATATATATGTATATATAAGATATGAATCGGCAACAACAACAAATACACGCAACGTTTAAGTATATTAGGCCTGATGATATTGATAATAGTTTCTATCAATTGTATATTAAACGCTACATTATATCGTTGCTCGCATATTCCGTTTGCGTCCTGTGCCTCTTTTATTTGCCGATAATGGTGTTCCAATTGTTCCTTTTCTTTTATTAACTTCTCCCCGAAGTGTACGCATCAAACACGATGTTCCGTAGATCCTTAATGATAGATGAAATATTCATACATTCTCGCAACGAATTGACGAAGTCTCATTGACCTTTTCTTTCGAAATACTTTGCTCGATCGAACACGTTATAGGGTTCAATGTAAAATCACGGTTTCCGTTCATTAACAAGAAGAGAAAACAGATAATGGAATTGAATACTTAATCTTCAATGCCATATTTATACTTCTTACAGCTACGAACAATCAGAGATTTAAATGTCGATTTCAACCTGTTCCTAGACAAACTAGTTGCATAACAAATTCAGAGAGCCATGTTTAGATTCTCTGACTTGTACAAGGTGTTAAGATTATAATTATCACGATTTACAGAGGTGATGCTTGCAAAAGACTTCAAAATTGAATGTCATAATGTTTGAACTTCTGGTTGGGATAAGTTTTAAAGGAAACATCAATTTTTAATGAAAATTCTGAAGGAAACTTCTGGTGTACATTATTTTAATCTTTCTGTAACATGAACTCAGGCTATCAACACATGCCAATACTTTAGAATTCTCAATATTTATAACAATATTGTAAATATTGTGAAATCTGAAATATTGACGAATGTCTGTGATTTCCATTAGAATCTGTCTTCGGTTTACAAATATTTGTCAAGTCTTTATCAACCTTATCTATGAATCACGTAGTAACACCTTGAAAATTGAATTAGCAGCTTTAGCTGATAAATAATCACATTAGCACCTCGGTAGCATTATAACCACTTAACAAGTGCACATGTAAGAATATTTAATTTTGAAGTTTGCATTCAATGCCAATCACCTCTGTAAAACATAATATATTTAACAGCTTCTTTTTAATTAACAGTAATTTTGGAACACCGATATCGTTTGTCAGGCCCAATAAATTTCTGCTCGTTCATTTCGAGGCAGCTCGTGAAAATTACTCGACAAACATTTCGCGATGCTAATTTAACGACGGTCGAAACCGTTTTCGAGATTAGCTTCTTAAATACATATACATATAATCGTGAAATTCTGACATATAGCGTCTGTACACGCAGAAAGGGAAATTCGAAGAAACTGCCTGGAAATAAGTTCAATTTTGCGCTCGAAAATTGCAGACGAAAGGGTACGAGGAAGAAAGGGATAGCTCTTTCTTTTAATAATCCGCGAACTGCATTGAAATGTTAATGAACAATATCTCGTTTCATGTACGACTTTTGTAAAATTTGCTCTTGCTTCGATAGCTTTATTACGAATAAAGATACATGGTGTTTTATAAACATATGGGACCCACGAGAGGAAAGTAAAACAATGAAGTACTTTGTAATAAATTGTATACAATACGTGATATTTCTGTTGACTACCCAGTTAAAATGGATCAACATAACTGGGATTTTTGATCAGGGTCTTTCTACAGTTACAACCAAAAGTTTGAAAATTTTCTCGCTGAAATAAAAAATAACTATCTACACCAACGTGCAGTTATTTAGAATAACATTGTTTTATTTTTTAATTTAAGCTTGCTACCATGTGCAATTAGTATAATGCTACTGAACATTTGATTTAATTTTGTATTACATTAAATACGTGGTGCCGGTCAACAGTGACCCCCATGGCAGTCAACGTGTTAAGGTCACTATGATTTAGTTGTTCAAGTTAAATAATGAATGACTGCTGAAGTGGGTCTCACATATTATGAAACAGCCTATACAGCACAAAGATATGACAAAAAGTATAAGCTTGTGATTCCTACGCATTGCGAGATCTTTCTTCCTGTATTCCCTTTGTAAAACTTTCGAAATATTGAAAATTATACGTTCAACGTATTTCTCGACTCCGAAAGATTCTATCAGACAAATTCCATTAAACGACTTTCAATATCTTTAAGCGCGGATCAAAATGTTTCACATCAAGAATTTAATAAGATGTCACGTATACTTAAACGAGTGCAAGCTGTCCTTTTCGATTTCTCGCGAGAAAAATCAACCAGGAAGGTTTATCTACCGTGGAAAGCAACGCGTTATTCCACGTAATTGATTAATTACTAATTTCCATAGGTGAAATCACCGTCTGAATATTCCAACGACGTCAATGGTTCAATTATGTTTGCAAGGACAAGCGACGTGCAAAAAAGACGCGTATTAAATTAGATTCTCGTCGTCATAAAAGAATCTATATTTCTTCCGTGAAAGAAAACCTTTTCTAATAGATTCAAAAAATAATACTGATTAAACTTATCAGAGCGCAATTATTTTTCTTCGGAATGGATCTCCTAGCTCTAGTGATAGTCACTAAGCTTGAATAGATTTTGAAAATTTAATTGCGCCAGCCACCAGTTTTCAAAATTTTCCCCGCGAAGCAGCTGATAATTATTGAAATTCTATTCTGCATAATTGGAGATCTTGACTGATTATTGACGAGATACTCCTCTCGTAGATTATTTTTCATCGAGCTCCAGATATAAGCAGCGACAAGGCCAGATCGATAATCCAATACATCCTTCAAGGTTTCGTAAAGCATAATACACGCTGAGCAATCGAAAAGGACACTCGCCTGGGTAATACAGTTTTCATCTAATACTTGATAAATCGCAAAAAGGATATCTCAATTGGAGGCAACGAAGCGTTATCGCAACTTGGATATAGAAAATGTATAATTATTGATAACGCATCAACGCCCCCAGTTCAATTATAAATATACCATTGACACGTATTATCAATGAAGAATCATTTTATTGGATGCATCGAAGAACGTGAGATCTGATTATTCGAGGGAGGCAAAGCGTTTCATTCTGATTCCTTCTTCTTCTTGCTAATCACTCAATCTCTCACTCTCTCTCTCATGTCGTCCTTACTTTCTTTTTATTATTAACAAAATCCTAATGTTTCATTTGTACACGTGTGATTGGTCTTATCCAAAATAAGGATGATTTGTTTCTTCTATTTTTCTGTCTCAACAAGCATGTCCTTATTTTGTTGAAAGTAACATCGTTTCATCGAAAATAATAATTTTACTTCTGTTAAAGCTTCTCGTATATGGGTAACAAGCAATATTAAATCAATCGTTCGTATGTTACTTGTGCTTTAATAATCATTCGACTTCTGTCGCGTTCACAGTCGGACAAGGTTCTTGTTTCTTACCATCGATGATACTGTTCACGTATACACACACGGATCAAATCACTTTCCATTTGTCACGGCCACATTTCTCCAAGCTAGAGCTATATATTGAATATCAAAAAAGAATCGTTCGAGTATACGCATGTACATTTAGAGCGAAAGCATACGAATCGAAACAAGAACATTATTTTATATCGTATGTTTAACTCACATGGTGAGTGTTTGAATCCCAGAAATCGTGTCCAGAGACAAGTGGACTTTATGAAAAGGAAGTGCTGCTTTTACATGTACGTAGGAGGAAAGAACGACACGATACACTAATTTTATGAACAAGTAAGGAATTCTTCGAGATGCTTAACGCAAAAGGAAAAAGAAACAAAAATGTGGTATATTAAAGCGTGTAAAAAGATCAGAAATATATATATGTATGCATATATATATATATATATAAAATAAACAATACAAACAGACACCGCATTCAAACAGACACCATGCGTTCTATCGCACAAGAATGGCAGTATCAGTGTAATAATACCTGTAGCTCGTAAAACAAGGCGCAATTAAATGGCTTAGAAGAACTGGAAATTGCATCGAGTGCAATTAATTACGAATTAAACGTTTTACGCCTCTCTCATTCGCACGCACTCTCTTCTCATTCTTTCTCCTTCTTGCTGTCTCTTCATCTCATTCTCTCTCCATCTTTTTCTTCTGCTAGCTAAGTCCGATTGATGCAAAAACGAATTTCCGCGAGGTACGCAGCTACTATAAGAATGACACTGAACATTACATAATGATAATAAGGAAACTATCGGCAAACAGTTGGATGAATTTAATGGCTGTTGTTTCGTAGTACACTGATATTTATATACGTACATCTATATACTTCAGTTACGGACAAGCACACAAATTCTCTCTCTCTCTTTCTCTCTGCGCACATTCATCTTATCGGTCGCCGTTATTACGTGGCTCAGAATATCTCGCACATTACACCGACCACGTCACTCGCTCGGCAATTAAATCACAGACAATGTGTATGATACGATGATTAACAATAAATCGTCAACTAGCGTTACCTACATATAATTCGGGATAAATAAAAGTTATTGTACAAATTAATATTATGCGTTCAATGTAACAAAAAAAGAGACACTGTATTTTGTTTTCCGGTAAAGACATGCGAATGTACAAGTATATGCACGGACACTGCGGTTTTTTGTTTTTGTTTTTTACCTCATTCACCGCCTCCTGCTTCGCCCGTTTCTCGCCATGGTCGTCGCTGGTACTAATTTTCTTCGATTATAATGTCCTCGTAGAATGTTTTTGGTTTCGTTTTATTTTTCTTGCTTCGATCGTAGACAACTGTGAAAGAAGTACACTTCTGTTACTTTGACGCCGCACCTTCGCCTCCTTTTTCGTCACCCTGCACGCTAACTGCAGCTGCAACGTGATTCAATACTTTCATTAATTATTTTCTATTTTACAAAACTCTTTTCTACTCTATTCTTTAAGAAAACAGGATTGTTTGTAGATACCAGTAGACTACATAGCGTTTTCTTGATGATTCTTCTGGAATAGAAGAGTTTCTTCAAAGATATACTGTTTCAAAACTTCTTTTGGAAGATTGTCTAGCTCCATATCAAACTTGAATGGCTCTTCTGCGACAGGCTGAAATAATTTAGCTTTAGTATTTGGTCGTTTGTTATTGATAATCGTAATTTACGAAAACGTATGCATACTTCATCAGCTGGATCGTAATATTGCTCTAAGTAAGGATGCGCGAGTGCATCTTCCACGACAATTCGTTTGTTAGGATTAAAAGTTAGCATTTTATCTAAAAGGTCTAAAGCTCGCGGATCGGCATTTGGGAAAAGACTTGTCCATGGAACCTTTGGTTTGTATGGTAAAGATTGAAGGTAATTTCGCGCCTAAAATAATGTTTAAAAATCATCTAAATAGATTTATAAACATATGTGAATAATATTTCAAAGAGCATAATGTATACTTTTTCATTTATAATGCACTCAAGATCTTCAGGAGATGGTGATCCAAGGACTCCTAATATATGGTTCAGTTGGTCTAAGTAATGCTTGCCTGGAAATATTGCTCGTCTTGAAAGCATTTCTGCAAGAATACAACCAACTGACCAAATGTCTATAGACTTAGTATAACCCTGTAACAATGATAACATATTATTATCTGTTGTACTATTTTCAAGTTAAAATTCATCAAGTATCAGTTACCTTTGAATTGAGCATTATTTCTGGAGCTCTATACCACCTTGTAGCTACATATTCGGTAAGAAAACCAGCATGATTATGCTCTGGATCAGCAACTCTAGCTAAACCAAAATCACAGATTTTAAGGTCACACGTGGTATTCAATAGCAAGTTGCTTGGTTTCAAGTCTCTGTGCAATACATTTGCGGAATGAATGTACTTTAATCCTCTCAATATTTGGTAAAGAAAATAGCATATGTGATCATTACTAATAGCCTGAAATTGTAAAGGTATTTTCACATTAAACTTTCTGAATGCTTTCAGCAATCATCAGTAATTATATTAACCTGTGTTTTCAGAAGTTTATAGAGATCAGTTTCCATTAAACATTGAACAATATATACATCTTTCATTTGTTCTATAGTAGGTGCCCTTAATATATCCCTTATATCTATTATCTAAAAAAAAATTACAGGGGTAATGTATTTTTATCACTTGTTCTCTGCCAGTCAATAATGTACTCACATTACAAAAATACTCACATTTTCATGCTTAAACCTAGTCAAAATTTTTATTTCTCTTAAAGTTCTCTGGCTATAAGTCTGATGTTCAAAAGGTGAAATTTTTTTAATAGCTACCTTTGTCTTTGTTACATTATCATAAGCAGATCTAAAAAAACAGATAATTCCAAAATATATGAAATTACTTTTTAAATTTTATGTATATTGATATAATTAAAACAGCTTTCTCATATTGTAGAGTATCCTTATAAGAAAACTACTTTAAATAGTGGCTTTCTGATCTTAACTAGCTTTTGAAACTCAATAGATCATGTAATTGTCAATCTTTAATGTTAAATACCTATTAAATTATTGATCATCTGTGCTTGAATCTATGTACAGGAAGATTTGTAACAACATAGTCTATCAAATTGCAAAAGCTTATTAAGATTTAATGAGAGTGCTTAGGGTAGTTTTATTGTTAACATTTCCTTTCAATTTAACATATGCTTATATAATTTTTTAGTTTCTGATAGTAACCGATAATGGGAATATTTGTAGCATAAAATAATAAGTTTTTCAAAAATAAAAAAAACAGCATCAAATAATTAAAAAATGCGATACTTTCTAAGAAGAAATTCGTAAATTTCGAACGCAAATACGTATCGCTCTCAGAAGATATTCGCAGAATAATCATGATTTGGTTAACAGTGTAATGATAAGACCGATAAGCGAGAGATAAGCGACGGGAACAAGGAAGTCGTAACACTAACACAAGTAGACGGGGGTTTAAAAGGGTGTGACAATCGCGTTTAAAAGTGGCGCCAAAAGGCAAGGATACATAACGATGAATAGCACATAATAACGGCTGTGCACGGTGTCAAAATAAACGTAAAATCTTTGACACGCATCGCAGAGTAAATATTTCGACAAAGAATCGATCGTTCACGTATTAAGCATGTGTTTGATTGTTTATCTTTCGGCCTGTCAGCCAGTCGATACACGGGCGAAAGTTCTCGGAAGTTAACAGGAGGAAAATTGACTTGAAGACACTTACACGACCATCCCGTAAGCACCCTCGCCCATGTACGATAAATTCGTATATCGCGGGCCAACTTCGAACGTTTGTCCGCGAACGACCTCACAATTTGGATTCACATTTGCAGCACCTTCGCCCGCCATTTTGACAACTATTTTGCGGCTCCGGCGAAGTCGGAATAAGTCTTGCTTCGCTGTCGAATCGTCAGAAACGATATTGCTATTAGATGGACTAAAGAATACAACACAAGTCGATCTTCCCGCCCTCTTTTTATAAATTTCACAACTATCGTTTTCAACATCGAACTACCTTTTATTCACTGCCCCAAAGTGTTAACATTTCAAAGAAAATTATATCATTTATTAACGGACTATGAATCTTCAATTTATCTTGTAGTTAATTTGTTAAGTAATAGCTTTCTTTTATCTTCTTTTATAATGTAAACCATTTTGTCATATGCATCTTATATAGTACTTCAAATCATGCATTCTTGTGCTACATTATGATCGATTCTTGTACTTTGTTTATTTTGTCCTGCCTTGTATATGGCTACAAAGGCAGAAATAGGCTATATAGAGAGAGGCTTCACACTTGTAATTACAGAGCATCTCAATGATCGGTTCTACAGATGTCGCTGTAGTTGTAATGCAATTGAAATAGTTCATCTACATGATTCATTAAACCGTGGCAATAGTAAACTGTAGTAGACGTTGTTTGTGATCTGTCAGTGTAGTTTAAAAATTGAATTATTTAAATAACGCAATTGCAAAGTTTGATTTTAACGTTGTACACAACACTTCAACTACATAATGAACGCACCACCCACCTTTGAATCATTCCTTCTTTACGAAGGAGAGAAAAAGTAAGTGTTATGAATTAATTAACCTATCATTTTTCAATTTTGGAAGATATTTATAATATTAGACGTTGTGCTTAGGATTATTAAAGAGCAAGACACTAAGGTTCCGAATGCCGCAATTTTCACAGTGAATAAGGAAGACCATACTCTTGGAAACATGATCCGCAAGTAAGTATTATTGTTGTGTAGTTTCATAAATGTGTATGATTTTATTTGGTTCTAAAGCTGTTTTGTTATTTAATAGCCAATTATTAAAGGACCCCCAAGTTTTATTTGCTGGATACAAAGTTCCTCATCCATTAGAACATAAATTTGTGATTAGGATTCAAACAACATCAGACTACACACCACATGAAGCTTTTATGCATGCGATTACAGATCTTATTGCAGAACTTTCATTATTTGAAGAACGTTTCAAGGTAAAATACAACTATTAAATCTTATATATAGAGTGACTTTTTCAAATTTTATTTTTATTTTTTTTTTTAAATATTACAGGAAGCTATCAAAGAGAAAAAAGAAGGTTTGGATTAAGTTCTATTAGTTATTTAATATAGATATTTTAAGGAATTATGTATATAATTAAATATCAACATGTATGAATGAGATCTTGTTACAAAGTGACCTGATATACTTTAATGAATAAACTAAAAGTATTTGTATATAAGAATGATTAAATAAAATCAATTTTAAGAAATTGTTTATAATATTTATATATTATATCATTTTGATAAGGATTTTTCTAGAGAGATACAAAGGAGAATTAACAATAACTTGTTTTCTTTATTATAACTAATCAGTATTTACTTTTAATTTGAATGAATCTCTGTAAAATACTAAAATCAGTCTCTTACAATTTTATTTCTCTTAACTACAAAGCATGAAGTTTTAAGACTAATTTAATGAATGTATCAACCCTGTGTTAAAGCTTAGTTAAAAGGCAAGACAATGGTAAGTCATAGTAGTACAATTTTGCTGAAATGATTTTCGTACAAATATTAATGATAAAAATAACAAACAATGTAAACAAAATAAATATTTTTTTTTTTGTACTTATTGTACAAACATTTTTCAGAAAAATGTACTACCAATTAAATCAAAATAAGCTTTCGCAAATTATGCAAGAACTGTCTTACGCTTCGAACGCTAATGATTTTATCATTGCGTTCTTCAATTACAGGAACTATCACTGTACTTTCTGCGCTTTTTAACACTAAATAAATTATTAAATACATATACAGGTTGATATAAATAACTATTATGTACATAATTACATTGGACTTTAGCCAGCCCCCTTAATCGGTATACGTACAGCTTTTCGTCCTGAAAACGAACCAAATATGTTCAGTTTATATTAATCATTAAACAACATAACAATTTAACCATAACTATAGCTTGTAATCGAACGGTATGGCTTTGTACTTTAACAATTACATGGAAGCACAAATATGCACGCAAAAAACAATCCAATAAACATATATAGATTTTTAAACCATAAACAAGGAAGAGTACAGATTTTTATCGACTTGTTGAAATTCTTGGATGAACACCCATACCCAATGCGGGAAGACGTACACACAACGGTAGCTTTAAACTTTTTTTATATAAAAATATACTCTGCTAAATGTCAACAGGTTTCTTCTTGTATCTAGAATATCTGAGAAGCGGAAAGGTAGGTTTACAAATAATAACACGCTGTTAAAATGTTTCGGCATCATCGCAATCACGAGTATCGTGTCCAAACACTGCAAAACAATCAAAAAAATCATCAATGAAATTGGATAGAGCAACAAGATGGTTAGAAAGGAAAACTTAGTAGATTTGGAAGATATGTCTCAATAAACAAATTATATTAATCAAAACAAAAATATCTCTTTTGATCATTATGTGATACTTCTTAGGAGTTGCCAAAGTTTTCTCGAAGAAAGTCTTAAACATCTATTCTTTTTTTTGGAACAAAGAACGTTGCAGACAAATGCAAAAAGAAATACAGTTCGTACAATTCTAAATGATAAACTCTTACTTTCACAATTCTCGCAGTACGGTCTTTCCACCGAAACCTTTTTTGGAGATTTTGCGATTTTTTCCGTTTCCAAAAAGTCTTGGGCTTGACGTGGACAATCTTCCGTTTCGTGTAAGTCGAACTGATCACAAATATCACAGAACATACGTGGCGCAGCCATACGTTTCTCTAACGTGGCACTGCAATTAGATAATTAATATTTAAAATTATGAATCGTATATTAATTAATTATGATAATACGTACGTCGTATACTCATCAGCTTCGTTAGCAGGTACTCCCATTTCAAGAACTTCAATTTTACATAATAAAGACTCATTTTTACGTTGCATATCCACTATTACAGAATTTAAGAAGTCTATTTGGCTTTTCGCCGTTTCATTTTCTTCTTTCAATTTTATGATATCAATATCTTTATCAACTAGAACCAATAATTTTATGGTTACTATACTATTTAAAAAGTAATATGTAAAAAAAGGATAAATTATAACAGAATGTTACCTATGTGTTTCATGTCACCTCCCGCTGCCTGAAATATAAATAATTCATTACTCTTGTTGATTATTATGATGGTACATTCAGATATCAAAGTTAGGAACTTACATCATAGTTGTTCTTTATATTTTCACGAGTTAGTTTTAACTGATTCGTTGCTTCTGTCCACTTTGCAGTAATTAATTTATTTTCCTTTTCCCTAAAGTGTACAAATCTTTATTACACACTATGTACTAAAAGCATACTAAAATTTATATTACCATTATGTATACTTACAAATTGTTTTGTACTTCCTTCAATTGTGCGGATTCCGAAGATATACGATTTAATTTTTCCATCAAATTCTGCATATTCTTCTCAGTTTCTTTATCCTTGTTTTTGATAGTATTTGTTAGCATCTCAACTTTCTCTTCCTGATCTTTTAATAATTTTTCAAGCGATTCTTTAGTATCTATCAAGTTTCTATTTTCTTTGATCACTTCATTAAGTTGACTCTGAATGACTTTGACCTCCTCATTTCGTGTCTGTTCATCTGTTTTAAGCTTCTCTGTTTGTGCATTTTCTAAAAGTTTAATTTGTGCTGTTAATTCTTGCATCATTGCTTCTTTATTATTTAAGTCAGTACTTTGTTTGTCTACCAAATTCTGAAGCGATTGATGTTTCTGTTGTAAGTCAGAACTTTCCTTTATTGCAGTTTCAAGTTCAGTTTGCTTAGATTTGATTTCACATTCATAATTACTTTGTAACTTCGTTATTGATTCATCTTTGGAGCTTTCCAATTCTTTCATTAAACGTTCCATCTCCTGAAGTGAATTATCTTTTGTGGCTAATTCTTGTTGTACATTCTTTAATTGGGACTCCAAAGTTTTTGTATTATCTAATAATTGTGATTCTAAAGTTTGCACTTTACTTTCCAAGGAAGCTTTTGTCTCTAAAATGTTGGACATTTCTGTTTTTTTTGCTGTAAGTATATCTTGTATTTTCTTCATTTCACTTGCACTGTCTGACTGTTCTTTTTGCATACGTGTAATAGTTTCATTAAGTTGCGAAATCTGTGCTTCAGTTTGCTCAGCTTCTTTCTTCGTTTGAAGAAGAGCATCTTCTTTAACTTTGATAGTCTCTGTTGCACTGACTAGTTTGTCTTTCAATTCATTTATTTCACTGGACATAGTTTGCAACGAAGTTGCAAGATTTTTATTACTGGTTTCTTTACTAGCTGCTAATGTTTCGTTTGTTTCTTGCAGTTTTAAGTATTTATTTTGCAACTGCTGAAAATTAGAATCTTTTTCTGCTATCAAAGATTCCAACTTTGAACGACTTTTAGTTTCAGCTTCTAATTTTTCTGTTAGTTCTTCGATAGACCAACGATTGGCACTTTGATCAGCCTCTAATTTAGATTTCAGTTTTTGCAAAGCTTTTGTTTCTTCTTTAGAAGCTGCTAGCTCCGATTGCAAATTACTTACTTCTTTTTGAAGTGATGATACTTCTTCTTTATGTGAATTTTGCAAAGTATCGCATTGTTTCTGAAGATTAACAATCTCCTCTTTACTACTTGCTAATTGACTCATAAGATTTGATGTTTCTTCAGATTTTTCTTTAAGATTTTGTTTAACGCGTTCATTCTCCTGTATTTGTTTATTGAGTTCTACGTTTTCTATTTCAATAGCTTTCATTTTATCAGATAATGTTGTATTTAATGCTCTCTCCTTTTCTAATTGAGTCTTATTATCTTCTAATGCTGAGCGTTGTTCTTGAATTACTGTAGTAGCTTCTTTTAATTCTACCTCAGTGTTATTCAATTTAGCCTCTAACGATTTGAGCGTATTATCACTTTTGAATACTTTATCTTTTAATTCATCCAATTCTTTCTCTTTGATTCGCAAATCTTCATTATATTTTACAAGTTGCGCAGACGAATCAGTGGAACTACTTATCAAATTTGCAATATCAGATTCCAATTTTTCTTTTTGAGCTGTGACCTGCGACAGTTTATTTTCTGTACCAGCCACCTGTTGATTTAAGTTTTCTATGTTACTTTCGAATGCTCGGAGTTGATTCTCCAAATTTGTCTTACTTTGTTCTGATATGGTAAGCGCATTCTGCAACTCTGAAGTTTTCTTTGTAAGATTTTTTATTTCTTCATCTTTATTCGCTAGAATGGATTTCAGTTCAACTATATCATTTTCTAATTTGCTAAGTAACAGAGACTTCTGAGATATATTTGTATTTGCTTCTTCAATATACTTCGTCTTCTCTTCAATTTGGCATTCATAACGATTAATTAATTTTTTTATTTCAGTCTCTGTAGATAAACGAAGCTCCGATAACTCCTTCTCTTTAACTTTCAATTCTTCATTCAATTTTTGCAACTGCGTAGATGAATTTACTTCGGTAGCCCGTAAAGAAGCAATGTCTTGTTCTAATTTTTGTTTTTCTTGAAGTATTTTAAAACTATCTTCAGCCTTTGATTGATATTCTTGTAGTTGCTTAGAAAGCATATCATTTTTCTCTTCCATTAATTTCAGCTTCTCGCTCAGTTCTTCAATCTTTTTTAAAGTGATACTTAATTCTTCATCTTTCTTTTTATTTATTTCAACCTGCGCTGATAATTCTGCCATTAATTTCTCAGTCTCAGATATCTTCTGATTTAGCTGCATTGAAACTTCCTTGATTTCTGAATCCTTCACATTCAACTGTTCGTTAAAGGATTCTGAAAGTTTGTTAATTTGCTTCATGTTCTCAGCTTTAAGATCTTCCAAAGCTACGTTTTGTGACTCTAATTGTTTCCTAGATTCAATCTCTAATTCTTGCGTTTTGATTTTTAGAAGATTTTCTTTCTCCTCTACCATTTTCTCATATTTGGATACCAATAATTCCTTTTCACTCGTGGCTTCTTTTCGTACAGTCTCTATCATTTCTGTGGCCTGTTGCAGTTGTTCTTTTAAAGTATTTGTACTATTTTCAAATTCTTTTTTCATATTTTCTATTAGAGTATTTTTCTCCTGTAAATTATTCTTTTCTAGTTCCTTTATTTGTGCGACACATTGTTCTATGAGTGCTGTTTTTTCCTGTACCTCTTTTTCAAGATCGTTTTTAATTACTTCCAGAGTCTTGTTGTGAATTTGCAATTCTAAATTAATTTAATTTAATTAATATTTACAAAATATAATTTATCAATGTAATATTTATCAAAATACCTTCCAACTGATGTTTATCTTGAGCAGTAACAGTAGAGATCTCATTACGAAGACGCGTTAATTCCTCTTCAGTTTCAAACAATTTTATGCTATCACGTTCTAATTGAGCAACGCGTTCCCTTTCCTCTAACAACTGCTTTTCGAGATCCTTTATCCTATTTTCATTTACTGTATTTATCACCTAACGAGAAACACAATTGCTTAGTGCCTAGATAAAATCTCTTATGTACACATTAATTAGCGTTAAATGCCCAAGATATATTCAAGAATACCGTTTATTGATTACGTTGATTTAGGCGAAAGTGCAATAAAATACAAAAAAAAGTCTTTTTAAATGCTCAAACAAATGTGAACCATATTATTTCATCTTGCAGAGTAATAATATATATTAATTGGAAACATATAAATTCAACATAGTGTATCCAAAGAAAGTTTACAATAATAAATAATAATTAGTACGAAATAAATAAATAAATAAACAAATAAATAAATTACATTACTCGCTAAATTTGTCATATACTGTCTTACTGATCATTACGTATTAATACTAAGTATGAGACCCATACGTAAAGCACAAATTCAGCATAATGAAAGCATTACTAGAATCAGCAATTATTTTGCAGTGCACTGCAGAGCATTTTAATCCCACACCTTTTTATCTAATGTACTTCATAGCATAATGATCAAACTTTATACATATGTAATATAATTTTAACCACTTAATATATTCTACGATACTATAGAATAGGACACTATGATACTATCGCCCCTTTAATCTGATACTTAATGTTAACGAAGGTTGAAAAGAATTAATTGTGAAAAGCCTTGAAGAGATAATGCGACGTCACATAGCTTTTTGACAAAATAGCGATGAAACGTTAAATGACATGACTACAGTGACGATAAGAGAAGCGGTGCAGAAAAACAGCATCATCAACCCCTCCTGTGGCTCAAACAGCTGCCATTGGATACTCACACATTGCTCAGTTCTCTCTTTCTGAAAATAAACGATAAGGTTTCTGCGTTAACCCAAAGCCTGGATAAAAATGCTTCATGTACCTTACGAAATGCCGAACTTTTAATTTTATGTATGATTGTTTAAGAACACTTTATATTATGGGAATTTAATCCAAGATCTGAATCTGTACCCAACACCATTTGTCATGTAAAAGCTCCTAATGCTGGTAAAAGCATATTAATCTACATTCTAATTCTATTGTTTGTAGATGTTTATCGAATAAAAATTTTGGTGTATCTGATACTTTTCGAAACAGAAGTAGAAAAGGAAATCTGACTAAACAAAGTGAAAGCAAAGAAAGAGAGAAATAATATACACTTTGATTATTTCACCTTGTTCTTTTTTGACCACTTGATAAATTCATTAAACATTCTTGCAAAGTTCTTTCTCTGACTAATTCATAGCTTACCTCGTACTTTAAGTTTATTTTACTATGAATTACTGTACCTATGCATGAAATATGTACCTGAATATCATCCTTATTGACTGATTCTTCTTCAAACCGAAACAGAAGATCTTCGCATTTCCTCTTCTCCTCCTCCAATTGTAAAGCCAGAGCATTCTTTTCTGCCAATAGTTTTGTGAATGCAGATTCTGCCTCTGTAACTGTTTTTTGCATCTTTTCTCGATACTAAAATCACAATGATATTCTTAATACCATTAAAATATGTATTGAAAACATTCGAGATGTATATACATATAATGTGGTAACCTGTTCATATTCTTGTTTTATTGAAATAATAGATTGTTCTGCTTGGTCTGCTTGATTTGCGGCTTTTGTAACACGTTCACGTTCTAAATCTCTCTCTTTTCGAAGGAACTCTATCTCCTGCTGCTTTTCTTTTAACGTTTCCTAAAATAATGAAAACATATATAAGGAAAGTTGTACATGATATATTATTTATTTACATTTTTCTAAATGGGATACATAGTTATTGAAGGAATTATTGGAAACTAAGCTGTGTTTGGGAGCATGTTTGATATATAATATAGCTTCAATAGTTAATATTTAATTGTCATCCTAACGCATACTGGTATGTTTCTACAAGACTCATTTTATTCTTGATACTGCACTTGAACTTTTAAATGGTTGAAAAACCGGTTTTTAATTGATACAACAGAAACGTGCAAACGAAGTAACATAAATATTTCAAGCTTGGCGTTGTAATGAATTTTGTATGCACATAAAAGAGTATCTAAGGTTCAATATTTCTTATTCATTTGGATGACAATTAAATATGAAAATTTCTCACATTTGGTATAAAGAAACTAGTAAACTATCTAGCAGAATCAAAACTGCTTTTTTTGGTAGGTAAACATAATTGTTTTTGGTGATATAAAAGAAGATCAGTTTACAAAAGAAATTCCCATCTAAGTGGGAATTGGTTTCCAAGGAGAATAAAAGGAGTGGACAGAGGATTTTATTAACATTACATACAAGTATTACTTTTCTAAACTACTTATCAACTACTACATAATTAGCAATTACATTCTAATAAATAAAACTGTATTGTCTACAGTGACTAAATAGTACATGATTACAATTACAATGGCCATACAGGTGAATTTAATAAATCATAATTCTCAAATCATAGAATTATGCTTAAAGTAGGGCACAATCTACAATCACAACCACATTTGTTCATTTACTTTTGCAGTATGTTCTAAATAAAGAGCGCTTGAATTATTCATTTCATAATTAATACAAACAGATATTAAATCATACTCTCACCTGCAGTGTGGTTCGTGCAGGTGTCGACGTGCGCAAACCAGGCCTCTGGAATATTGGATGCAACAGATAACAAATATGTATCATGCAACAGCCATACAATTAAGCTGCAACTCCTTCTACTCGTTATTTAATCTTTTCTCTATTAAATAAGTATCTTCTATAAAAAAATATAGGTCTGAACTATTTTCATAACATCAATTAGATATCATCTATACTATAACAGTTAGGAACATACAAATATTAAGATTGTCAAACAACTCTTTGGAAATCAAGTTACGCTCAACAATGTTACTCAACAAAAACAACAATAACAACACATAACTAACAAGCTAATAGTTCTTTTATAAACATTTTTCAAAGCAATTTAACAGAAGTTATACTTTATTCGTAGAAAGAGACACATGTTGATGCGTTCAAAACAAGAGGAATCATTTGTTCAAGATTGTCTAATAATCTACATAATGAGGTATTCATTAGAACACGTGATTCCCTAATTGCTTTCAACAATGCCTCAGAGTAAATAGCCAAGAATCTGCATTCTGGACAGAAGATGCAAGCTGAAGACCATTCTCCTTATTCTGGCACGGTGAATCTTACCCTCGCAGAGGTAACACCAGTCCTGGTGGCGACACTTGCGGTGCTGGCGACACTTGACAGTGAAAGGAGAGATTCTCTGGAACCAGTCTTCTTCAGGGACGAGTTAAGCGCAGCGCCAGTTGGCTTATGCACCATGCACGATGACCTTTTGCTAGTTGGCGATCGGCTGACCTTGTGTGCGGGTGCGAACAAGCCGTATTTAGGTCGACATTCGAAGTACCTGAATCAATGCTAAAGCAGTTAGCTAGCCTGACACAAAGAGAGAGCTAAGTGGCGGTATCAAGAACATGAATTGCAATGGAAATTGATGAAATATTATAATATTTGTCTTTATAAAGAGTAATGATGTACAGTAAATTTTTGATAATCAAACTGTATGAGTTATATGATCCTTCAGTTTCTATAGTCTCATGCAGGTTCATATAGTGAGATACTGCAGTTTGTAAAGCATCGTTATCTGTTCACGTCTACTCCTATGAGCAAAGCTATAAATACACCCACAGGTATGATCGATTCGTTAATTAATTCGACATTGCAGAATCGAACAAACGTTCCTCCCACACGAACAACTTCTCTTTCGACTTTTCCAGAATTCATCGCTTCTTGATACTTTCCGCTATAGTCAGAGCCAGGAGATTGTCAGTTCGAGGTCACTACTTCTGAATATGGAATTAAATAGTATCGATAAAGCAAAGTCTTTATAGTTATATTGCTAGCAAAGGCACGTGGCTGAGTGGAGGGACCATCAGAACCTTGAGTATTCAAAATCTGGGCTCAGACTATGGAATTAAGAATCTCGATGCAGACCTTCTGTCACCAACGGAACCATCGTTTTTTCCAATAGGATCATCAAGCTCTACGCCGCACCAGTCGCCTGCTGCGAAGTCTGTGATGCCCATGTACCTGAGGACACCTGTTTTACTGCCTTGACTGGACGATACTATTACTCTGTCGCCTATCCTGAGATCCCTCGTCGACATCGTGGACGACAGACTCGTTGTTGATGCGTCTGCATGACGTTACATTTACATATTTTATCAACTCGAACATTGAATACAACATGCAATACAGTGCACTATTACATTAAATTCCCTTTCAGAATACATATACAATTCTAGCGATCAGAAGAGGATGAGGAATCGGCGCACATCCGATTTATTTATTGAAGACAATTCAAGGTTCAGCTACATAGATGGTTACTATAGGCCACAAAGGATTATATAGTTTTCCCAAATGAAATCTACCAGAAGTGCTACGGTAACAAATTCGCAACTGACGAGATCCTAATGGAGATCTTAGACGAGTATATTAAATACAGAAATGATATATCGCCTGAGGTCTCCTTTGCTAAATGTGCTTTTTCGCATATGACTATACTAGTCATGGCACTAATAATTTACAAACAGATGTAACAAATAAAGTTCTAATTATAATGTGCAAGTAATTTGTAAATACAAGATATCTTAGAACTAAAGATTTTGAAACTGTGTCAGCTGCCAATGTGTTGTATAACAAAGTACAAAAATGTGTTAACCCTTTCATTACAAAACTAAAGTTGTCTATACAGCTTGTCGCATTTCAAAAGTGACTACAATAACTCTCAGAACATTTCTGGCAACTGTCAGAATATTTTACAAAATTTCACATTGGTTAACAAAACATATTTGTTAACAATACATGTCAACTATGTACAGTAACAAAAGGGTTAGACATGGCGTTTACAAATACAAACAGCGAGGACAAACAAATATACAATCTATTCTAAACAGTGCTAAGCTATTGCTAATGGCGTGCATTCGCAGAATCTTGCAGTTCCTCAACAAATAACAGATACAGTGTTAACAATACGAACTGCAAAACTCTCCAACAACGAACAGATTTTATTCGAGGTGTTTATGAAGGCGTAATTGCTCTTCCTGCGCATTCAATCCCAGGACAATTTTCAAGCACACTATGGACGAGGAGAGTATCTCTTGCAGCGTTCCTTACTCAAAGACGGAGACATGGACTTGCTTAGGCCTTCTCTCGTGCTGCCAATCGGCGACGTTGGAGTCTTCTGTGTCGGTGACACGTCCATCAACGGCGTCCTGGTGAGTCTCGTCAAACGAGAGAATATTCCTCGTTTCGGCTCGCACTGGAAGTATCGGCAGCCAGCCACCGATCCATCGTTCTTGCCTGAACATCTCATTTTTTAGTTTCTCGAATTTTAGCAGTATTTGGAGGATCTGAAGTGTCTTACCGATCGGTTCATCCAGGACCACACCAGCCCAGTCTCCTGGCGCGAACTGCGTCTCTCCGATGTATGCAATGGCACCTGGCTTCGTACCACCGACCCATACTCGATCTCCTATTATGAAGCTGTCGGTGTCCTCTGTTAAGACGACACTGTTATCTGTCCGACACAAGCGTTAATTGTTTCAGAGAGATCGGAATTTGGGGAGCAGATATCTTGTGTATCGGAAAATTCAAATTCTTCGAATACTGACGGTCTCTCCTGTGATTACAGTATGACGTTAATCGAATTGTCTCCAGTATTCGGAATTTTGAGAATTCGATCAGAATTGTGCTAAATATTTCGCTCGCATTTTGGGCTCTTGTCTGGAAGATTTTTCGAAAAGCACATGCAACAAGCTCGCAACCTTTGCGCTACTACATGGACGATACACGATTTACGAGACGATTCACAAAGAGAAAAATGTTTCTACTACTAGAGTGATGCAACAGATTGTTAAATAAACAAACAATTAATCAAACAAATCTTTGTTCGTTGATATTCAAATCTAGAAACATACTTCATTTTTTATTTAGAAGATTAATTAATTTTCAAGGTGGTCCTTGCAGTTAATCTGAGTGCATTTAGCACAATAAATTATCACATCATTTTATTCATCACTATCAGAAGAATGAAATGATTAAATCTTTTACTATTATCTTGTATTAAAAGATTATTACTTTTGCATCCCTCTTGAAAATAAAAGAAAAGAAAAAGGTGAAATGAAATACCTACCTGATCCTCTGCGCAGGCCAGCCTCGCTTAATCGACGGCCATGCGTTTCCCAAAGATGATCCATCTGGTCTGTGGTCATGCAAAATAACGCAAAACAATGCAGATCAAACCGGAGGAAGCATGCTTTTGTGAACGGGATTGCGGAACCTTTTATCACGGGGTTGAACGTGACAAGCCGTCGTTGGAAATGAAAACGTGTCACGCACGATAAAATAAACCGTGATGCTTCTATCAGGGCTTGGTTTTTTAATTGCTGTTGCAACGTAGAGGAAGTTAATTTCCTTTGATGTTATGCGGGGAATTATGTAAAGGGGAGTAATGAGGTTTTGAAACCTATGTGTTATAAAATATAGCATATGTATATGTGTGGTATAGTCATTTTTGTGGTATATGATATATTGTTACTTTTGTGGCAATAATGTAATATATATTTGACTGATATCTTGTTCAAAGAGATTCGAGCAATTTTCAAGTTATATCTTAACTTGTATTTAAGTTCAAAGATATAGCAATTTATTATATTATAGAATATTGCAAGCTTATAATTTTTTAATTTTAAAAATTGTACATAGAAGATTTTGAAACTTGAAAATTTTTAGGGCTGAGATTTTAGAATTTTTTAATGTATAAATTCCTAAATTTTTTAACTCTAAAACTTGACAATTTCAAAACTTCCTTATTTTACAATTCTTCAATTTTATTTTTATTTGTTAACATTTTTTAACTTCCTTAATTTTGGAACTCTAAGAATTAGAGACTACTTAATTTATGACCAAACTACATCTGCCTATCCTCACCCATAATATAATTCAATTACAGCACCGCGTTACCAGAAAAAAGAAAAAAGTATAGCGATTAACGATGAAATTAATTATTCATAAACAAATGTGGGCGAACGCTGGTTGTAGGTTGTTCGCGTGGGCTGAAGTCCGCTGTTCGACGAGATAGATTCGCGATTAGAGCGAAACGATTATATTATTCTAGATTAATCTAGATTGTGTATGCACAATCTCTGCGATAATCATTGTATATGCGGAACTTGAAACGGTGTTTGAAACGAAATTTAAACTTTCAGGAACTTGAAATGTAAAGTGTTGTATCTGAAACATTTATCTATAATTTATTCCTCTGTGAGATTTATGTGAATATTCTTGTTTAGCGAGTCTGTTAATCAAATGGGCTAACATTTTGATTTCACAAAAAAGAATGAATTTTAATCACTGAAGATATGAATTTTAATATTTAAGACATTAATTTATCTTATTAATGTTGTGAGTAGAAGATACTTTTTAACGTCAAATGCATATAAATGAAGGTCAATATTATACATTACTCATAATCATAAAAGTATCAAAATTGCATCATCAATTATACACCACGTTAAAATGTATCTAAAGACTATAAAAAATTTAAGATCACGTCTACAAGTTTCAAAGACGTAATTTTACTTTTAAAATACTATATAAAGAACGATGCATCATCATCCAACATTTCCAATGGTTAAACAATGACTCACTCTACAAAAAAGAGACAACCTGAACGATGCAAGTCTAACATCTTAGTCGCATTAAACCTTGCACGAAATAAATCTTTACATTGATTCTTCAATCGATTTTCAAAGAACTCGCAAGAAATATATGATTAAAATAATAGTCACGTAGATTTAATTGATTTTTAAGATCTATTTCGTACTTGTTACAAGTAGCGATACCAAAATAAACATCACGTAAAGTGTCAAGCACCTTGACCGCGTGAAGCGAAACGCTTGTAACGCGATCCATACAATACGTAGTCATACAATCCAAGATACCTCAATCTCTCCCGTGTACATCGTGTAAACAAGGTTAATGGTGTAACTATACGATTACTATTACGCTCGTCAGGTAGCAATTTGTACCTGGAATCTGATCTAATGAAAATCATGGTAACGCGATCCGCGATCCTCTCGAGAATTGATTTTCAATCGTAACCGGTGACCAGCTCGCTGATGTATCAAATTTTCGTTACTTTGCACACCTTTCCTTGAAACGCTCAATTTTGCAACTTAATACTCTGACCACATGTATCTTTCCTTTAACTCTTTCATCTAAAAAGATAGCATCGATAAGTTTACAACAATCTAATTATCAATTTTTTAATTTTAATCAAAATTTGTTTATGACGTACTTAACAGAAGATTAAATGCTTTAAGAAATAAATCTAGTAGTTTAATTAGAAGAACCACATCAATGGTACTCTGTATCCAATTACCAGATGTCTGATCAACGAAGGAGATTAAGAATGCAACCCAACATGTTATGTCACTGGCGCCAGTAAAATATGTTAATAATCTATCTCTCAAAAATGGACACTCGAAACGCGCAATATTATTCGGAATATCGTTACGATGAACCGTTGATCTGCCCATATTTAGGCGACTGTTATTAAACAACATGAGGACTTACGTCAGAACAAAAGATTGTCACCTCGGACAAACGTGATTTAGGCCGGAATCATTCGTAGTAAAAACACGTAAACATGTGTGATCTGTTTGTAACTTTTAGAGTGACACGAGTGATGAATAACTCGATCGAGGAATGTCATGAATTTTAAAAGCCTGCGGTATGTCTTTACAAACTGTTAGTTCTCCATGAGAGAAATAATGAGATAACTGAGGCAATAAATCTTAACACTTGGTTTAGGGTTTTAGAGAATAGAGAACTTCTGAATTTTTGTAGTTTAAAATATTTGGAAGTTGCTTTGGAACCTTGGGAGAATTTTGAGATGTTAGAAATTTTGGGAGCTTAAGATTTTACAACTTTGAAGCTTTGGACATTTGAGACTCTGAAATATTTGAATCTCTGGGACTTTGAGACTTTAAAGAACTTTCAAAATCCAGAATCTAATTCAACAAAGTTTATCTTAAAAATTCAAGTTCTCCACATCCTCGAATATCCAGACTTTTCTGAACCTGACCTCCTCAGGTGATTCGATCTCTATCCACATTCTCGTGCACCTCTACCGCTAACCTAATACAAACCGAGAATCAATTTCTCCAAGATAACGAGAGAAAATAAAGAACTGAAAGGAAAGCCGTGTGATTTTTCACACTTCTTCAAGAGGACCTTCCCTTGTTTCGAATATCAGATATCGGGAAACGTATCCGTTTGCACGTCAAATCGAAAATTGACATCGTTACCTTGAGCTTTCCGATCGCGTTTCGAAACCCGAGCCAAGATACACGCGATCGTATAAAGATCACGGGCAAAGTTGGCGCGAAAAGCCCTGCCCGAAAAAGGGAAACGAGGCAAACACGTGGGAGGAAAGACGAAACGGTTGGAAATCGAGCGTACAATAAACACTGGGATTGCATAACCGCGTGCGTCATGATGACTGCACACGCAGGTTCCTAGCTTCTCATCCATTTGTGCATCGGTGCAACGAAGCCACTGGATGAACCAATAAGGCAAGATGGGTGCCCTCGATGCGAGACGGACGCTTTTGTACGCGTTGTAGCGCGTGTCTTGATGAATAATCGAGCGACTTATCTGGATCTAAAGGCGCAGGACCTCGCTTCTTAAGCATGCGTTCTAAAATGAAATGCGGGTTAATGGACAGGATTGGTAGATCAATTTTATCAAGATTCAGAAAGGATAAATTGTACTCAAACTTGGGAAATCCAACACACATTTTGTAATTCAAAATTTTGGTGGTTCTAAGAGATCTTGGGATCATCTTTACATTCTAGTAATTTTAAAAGTGCCTTCTAACACTGATTGCAAATTTGAAGACCTTAAACAAAATGGAAAATTCAGATTAGAATGTAATCCAGAAAAATTGGGTAAATTATTCAAATATCGATACTAGAAATTTTAAGCAAGGGTAAAACATGTTTTTAAATATGAAAGAAAAATATACAACCATATTCCAGTCACCAGAACAAGCATTTAACAATAAACTTTTGTAATGCAGAGAATTTTTCAATGGAACATTAAAGATGTTGATGAACATTGAAGAATCAGAGAATTTCAATGAAACAGATCCAGTGTGAAGAATCCAAACAAAACATTTATGATCTTCAGTAACACCTATTACACACAGTTAAAAGAATGAATGGGACAAAATGATTTTTTATGTTAGTAACAAATAACACAAAAACGACTGAAATTTACTTCACTGTTTTAAAGGAAGTATCAACCAAATTGTTCACGATGCTTAATCAAAACTGTGGCGTTTGTTAATGAGAAATCGATATATTTACCGGCTCGCTCGGACAAGATGCGTTCCGTTGAGAGGTGGAAGAACGACTCGTGAGAAGTTTGCGGGTTCGAGCTTGTAAAAGTATTCGTTCACGTTCGTCTCAGGGTCTCGTGGGCGTACTCGTTTGCACCGCGTGGGGAATTAATGAGTCGCATTCAGCATCGAACTAGTCTAAACCCTTGATCGGTTTCATTTTCCCTATCCATGTTACACGTGTATTTGACGTGGATCATATTTAATTATTCATTGTATTTCTTTCATCAAATTTATATACTCTTAAGATGGAAACTTCAATTAAAGCCAGTAGAACAGAGCCACTGCATGTAGATGTGCAACTTCTTCAAGGATGATACACATTGGATTTTTCCTATGTTCTTCAAAAATTAATAGCAAATGAGAGATCTCATCTTCCTCACAGTTATCCAACATTACTCTCCCAAATCCATATTCATATAAATCAGCATTTTTCAAGAGTGAAAGACAATTTCCTAAAACTTGCACACAGGTAGCTCACATACATGCAGCAGCTCTGAAAACAAATGATTTTATTCTACAAATTTTAATACTTTAAAGACTTGCTGGATGTGCCATCAATACTGAGACACCCTGTATATACCTTTTGCTCATATTTATATGTCAACATAAATGTAAGATGTATTCCAATGATTAGATTATATCAGGACACAGTAACATTACCTTATCATTATGAAGACGCGAACAATTGAAATATAAAGCTCCTTGAAAACTCCCAGACTTGTATTCTTTCATGTTTGTGACACAAACATATATGTTTAAAGTATGAAAATAATGAGAAATAAAATATAATTTTTCTAAGCATGCATATGCCACATAACATAAATTTCAAATAATAATAATGTTAAATTTCAGTACATTTATTATTGAATCATTAATTATGTGCAATAATTTATGTATCATATTACAAGTGGCTTCGTTATAACAATATTTCATGGCCCTCTTTAGACTTCTATTATCATACACAAATTATTCCATGTGTACAATGACTAACAAGCATACTGAAATTTAACATTCTTCTTGTTAAAAATAAACTAAACACTATACTCTCAAATATATTATGGATATAATACAGTTCGTTGTTATGAACTCACTCATTGATGATCTTGGAGGCGATGGTGGAACTGCTGGTCTTGGTGGTAGATTGCTGCATGGTCTACCAATTTTTGACGGTGGCCTTAGTCCTGATGGCTTTGGGTCTGTCATCTTATATGTATGCACTTATGTAACACTGAAATATGAAAATAATGGGTTGATAAAATTGGGAAAATTGTATAAGTTGCATAAAAAAATAATGCTTTAATAATTAACAAATAAAATAGTAAAGGTACATTATTATAAAATATTATAATAATAAATATCATAATATACAAAAATCAATATTATAAATTACAGAATGATTTAATTCAACAACATTAAAATCATTTTAGTAAGTTATTTGTTGCTATCAGTGTGTAATTTTTATCTACGCAATAATTCGTCAACACTAAACCTTACAAATTTGTGAATCTGCAAATTTGGAAATTTGTGAATTTAAGAAATTAAAAATGTAGAAATTATAAAAGTTATGAAATTTTGAAATTTGGAACTGGAAGATCTGAAAATTTTTCAACAACGCTGTCGCTTACACAACATTCGAAATTCATAATTTGAAATCGCAATCGAAAAGTCGTTAGCGGATGTGAAATCGAAATCGAAACTTGAATTACATATGCCGAAATTCTTGAAGTGCTCGCAAATAATATATATTATTTGACACTGGTTCATAACTCATACAAATAAAACACATCATATTTGCGTGCATGAAAGGGTCATTTTGAAATACCAATTTTGTTCATTAATGCATATTATGACGTTAAAAAATGTCAAATGGATCTGAGGTTAACTTCCTCGAAGTGGACGTTCAACGTTTAAAAACGAATTTGTACGCATTATTACCTTATTGAAACGTGATGTAATATTTTTGCATCCACTCAATTAACATATTTTACAAACAACAATTAAAACATGACCGTGTCTACAGAAATGAGCACCGCGAATAATTCGAACAAATTCGCACGATAGTCAACGGAAAAGTGACAATTACTAGCGCTAGAAGCGCTGTTACGGTCTACTTGCGAATTAATTCGTCATTTTCTCTCGATTTTATCTTCGTTTTCTATTTTTAATGCAACGATGTAATCGACAAATTTCTTTCATACATTGCTTTCAGTACTATAATCAATTATCAATTCAGTGCAGAAAGTTCAATGTAATAAACGCTCGTTTTCTTGAACTTCACTTTCCTTTCATATCATAGGATATATTTTCTGTTAACAACATCTTTCTTTATATTGAAGCCGTTATTTACGTCTTTCTTATCTAAAATAACCTTAATGCTATATAATTAGATAATGTAATCGTTTTATTCTTACGATTTATGTAAACAAAAAAAGTGAGATATTAAATTTAGTTCCGAAAAGAATCAAATATTGGCTAGATGGCGCAAAAAGCTAATCATGTTGCTGCAAGAGGGGAATTTCCTACCCCTGCTGAATAATCTCCAAGAAAGAAAAGTCGAAATGAAACAAGATTGTGTAGAAATATACAATTGATCAAGTGACTTTAACAGGTCCAACGATTAGAGATAATTATTAGATGTACATAATGTATTTTTCTAATAATGACGATTTAGGATAAAGTAGTGTTCAACTAATTTAGTTGAAAAAACCTTGTTACCAAAAATAATTTGACTGTGTTCAAGAAGACAAAATGACAACTGACCTGTCAAAAGTGCCACTTGTTGCTTTGTCTGTGAAAACTAAAGAAGTTATTTCAACATTACTAAATCCTCCAAAAGTAATACCAACTGAAAATGGTTTGCCAAGGTAAAGTGACAATTGATAAATAATGACATGTGATTCATAAAGTTTAATAAATTTTATTTGTACATAAATTTTACTTTATATATTTAAACATAGTGGAACAACTTTTAAGAATTTGTGATGTTTAGAGATTGGAGAGGTCTTGCACATTCATCCAACTTGAGTGGTGAAATATTACCATTGTTAATGTCGCATTCTGATCCATCCGCATATATTTTATCGATTTGGCAAGAAAGGCAGAAGGATGTTACACTTAAGGATTTACAAACAGCATTAGAAGAAATTGATAGATGGGACATTATAGATGATACATCTGAATTGTTTGGTTTGTAATTTTGCTACATAATTTTTTTAAATATATAAGGATATTTTAAAAATATCCTTGTTCTAAGAACTTCATATTTTCCTGCTTCCTTTTGAAACATCTTATATTTTATAGTTGTACTTTAGTTGTATTGTGTTTATGTTATAGAAAAAGATGCTGCTAAATATTTGTCGTCTGAGAACTCGGCTGAAGTCATAGAAAATGAAATTGATAAAAAAATTTTGACTGTAGGTAAGTCATTTGAGGTATAGAATGTTATATTATTAAACAAGGTAACTGATCATCATAATTGAATATTGTTGATCATTCCATCTTTTCCAACAGATGATATTTATAGGGTCAGGCAAGGATTACAAAATCAATATTATGATGCTTTTTTACTGTATGCGGATGAGGATGAGAACTTTGCTTTGATGACAGTAGAGAAATTAGAGAAACAATATAATTTGAAGGTAATAAAATGGAATTAATATAGAATATGTAAAAGAAATGAAATATAAGAAGAATATTTAAGAGAAATATATTTTCAGCTTTGTTTGAAAGATCGAGATTTAATTGGTGGAATTACATTTGAACATCAAGCTGTAATGACATTAATATCAGAACGTTGTAACAGATTAATTGTTATAGTATCACCTAATTTTCTTAAAAGTCCAGCAAATGATTTCTTTTTATCCTATGCTCAAGGATCTGGCATTTGTAAGTTATTGTACACTTCAATATTACAATTTTACTTGGGTAACCATAGTTCATAATTTTTATATTGTATTAATATGTCTGGTTTACTTAGGTAAAGGTCAACGGAAAATCATACCATGTTTGTATGGACAGTGTGAATTACCACGACAATTGAACTACATGTTTGTACTCGATTATAAACGGTGTTTATATAATTTCTGGGAACGGTTACGAGATTCTGTAAAAACTGTAAATGGGTACTGTATCTTCATTCAGCCTGTTTTAACTTTGCATTAGTTAATGGTTGTTCTATTTTATTCTATAAAAAATTCGATTCCATTTTCAGTGTAAACACAGAAAAGGAATTGCAATTATTTACTGAAAATGAGGCTATTTTTAGAACTGTTAAGACAAATATCAAATACCAAACCGAAGAAAATCCAAAATGTTTAACACCATTGAAGGAAGATGAAGTATTAAAAGACGTCAATGAATCACTTGTAACAGTGGAAACACCAAATAATTCTAAATTAGATAATGTACAAGATAAAAATAAGAAACGCATGAACTTCATGCCACTATGGCGAAAATGGATTCGAAAAGTAGACTATGATAAAAGAAAATACACCATCACGAAAACAATAAGTTTACCATCTCTTGAAAACTTACCCTCACTTAATACATCGATAGATTCGATACAAAAGAAACAAAAATCAAAAATAAGCAGATACTTGAAAAAAGTGCCTCTTCGATCGTAATAATTTTATATTTGTCTGAATTATGATATTACTATTAATTGCAATAATTAAGTGTAATATTTAGTAAATAAGACAAAGATGTACCATATTTTGATAATAAGATGTATATTTGTAAAATTAATAATAAAACATGAACTGTGATTGTAGAATATTAATTTATTTTAATAAATTATCAAAGTCGCTCTATTTTTGTTGTAAAAGTTTTTACTATCAAATGGATGAAAGGTTACAAATCCCGTAAGTACCCAGAATTACAGAATTCAAAAGTAAGTAACCATATCAGAATGCAATTTAGCTCTTTAGAACTGAATTTCATATCGAAATTTACATTCATAATGCAAGTATCAGCGAGTTAGCGTGTGAAGGAGGTAAAAAAGACAATTTAAATTTTCGCGCGCTGACAGAAAACACAATGGGCGCCATCTAGCGACTATAAATACGAACTAACGAACCTGCAGTTCCCAGTGTGCGTAGTTCACTCCGTTCGTCGGACAGATGGCGCTGATTATTTATAAAAAAAGAAGTCGGAAAAATAGACGTGGCGCCTCTAGCGGCACTTGTGGGAACTAATGAAACTACAGTTTCAAAACCCTGTAGTTCACTCTGTTCGCCGGAGAGATGGCGCTAGTAGTTCCATTTTTAAAAATGGAATTAATATTCACTAACACTTTCATAGTGTTGCGTAAATACAATTTCACAAATGCTTGTGAAACTATACAGGACGTATCTAAAAATTTTAATTAATGATTGTGTGTGGAATGATTGATTTTCTATATCTAATAGAGGTTGTTAGAATGTGGGTTCTGATACCATGGTGGGTTGGAAGAAAATTGGGGATTTTGGGATTCAGGGAGTTTGCAAATTTGGAATACTGGAATTTTGGGATTTTGGGATTTTGGGACTTTGGGATTTTCAGATTTTGGGATTTTGGAATGTTGGAAATTTGGAAATGTGGAATTTGGGAAATTTGGAATTGGGGAAATTTGGAAGTTGGGAAATTTGGAATTCGGGAAATTTGGAATTCGGGAAATTTGGAATTTGGGAAATTTTGAATTTGGAAAATTTGGAATTTGGGAATTTGGGAATTTGGGAATTTTAGAAATTTGGAAATTTGGAATTTTTAAGTTTGGAACTTAAGAATTTAACAACTGAATGTCCCACAATTTCCGGCAACTAAAAATCCCCTTAATGCAAGCCTATTTCCGTCTTCCGGTTTTGTGAAAATTCACCGCTAATTACTTTCACAAATTACAATCAACCAGAGTAAGCATAATTTTCCGCGAAACAAAACCAGCAAGTCATTCACATATCTAATCTTTTTCAGAAAGAAATATCTCAATTTTTCACTGTAACTTCCCCAATCACTTCCGTTAGCAAATTTCTTCCGGAACTGGTCCGATAACTTGCTACCCGGATCACTGATAAGCCTTGTGACCAGGTAACAGTTGTCACAGGGTGGGTTTGTATACCCGGAAGCCGGCAACAGACAGCAATATCGGTATCGATAATATACTTACGTGCAAACGAGAAATGTAAAAAGAATGAAAAGATAGACGTAATGCGGGACAGAAAGCCGGGCGAGTCTTGAGTCGCCATTATGTACAGGAGGTTTCAAAATAAAAAGTAGAGGAAATTCCAAAAATCACAAAATTCCAAACTTCTCAAATTCCAAATTCTAAATTCCCCAAATTCCAGATCCCCCAAATTCCAAATTCTCTAAATTCCAAATTCTCTAAATTCCAAATTCTCCAAATTCCGAACTCCCCAAATTCCAAATTCTCTAAATTCCAAATTCTCCAAATTCCAAACTCCCCAAATTCCAAACTCCTCAAATTCCAAATTCCCCAAATTCCAAATTCTTCAAATTTCAAACTCCCCAAATTCCAAACTCCCCAAATTCCAAACTCCCCAAATTCCAAACTCTCGAAATTCCAAACTCCCCAAATTCCAAACTCCTCAAATTCCAACTCCCCCAAATTCCAAATTCTCCAAATTCCAAACTCCCCAAATTCCAAATTCTCGAAATTCCAACTCCTCCAAATTCCAAACTCCCCAAATTCCAAACTCCCCAAATTCCAAACTTCTCAAATTCCAACTCCT